AAGAAAAGAAATGATAATTCTGTGACGTGGTGAAGGTGTTAGCTAACACTACTGATGGTAGTATAAATGTGTCAAATCAACAGACTGTATACCTTAAGCTTCCATAATGCTATATGTCAATTATGTCTCAACTTTTAAAAATGGCACAGTTCTGCCAAGGTTTCCACTACAGATGCAAGGAAAAAGTGTCCTCACACTTCCTATCTGTCTGATTTTGGCAGCCAAGACTAAATGGGAGAATACAAGAGAAAAACAAACAAACAAACAAAAAAGAAATCTCTGTAACTCAGCCTTGTAAAAAATAGAGCCTGTTTTGCTCCACCCCAAAAGAAAGGAAAATCAAAGCCAAAAATGGTGCAGTTGCTTCCAAGGACATTTAGCCACATTCAGTGAAACTGCAGGTGGACACTGCCATGGCACTAATAATTCCACTCACAGGTGAAGGAATTACCTGTGCAGGTGAGCATGAAGAGAGATGGGTGTCTTACAGGGTAGCCCAGAGTGGACTGGCCGCCTGTCTGTGGGGCCTCACCCATGCACTCACAATTCGGTTGTACTGCAGGTACATACAAAAGGGTCAATAACGGGTTTATTTACAAAAGGGAAAGAGATAGGAAACAACGCAGGGAAAGAGAGCGGGATATAAAGTAACTGGAATATGTTACCACTCAGATGACTGAAAACACAATCACGCGGTCAGGATAGCCATTTCCCAAGCAAGAGCGAGAGATGCAATCACGCCCTACTTATCCCCCAAATGTCCCAGAATTCCTGCTAGTTCCGCCCTTGGGTCCTCGAAGTTCTCTCCCTGGTACTGCTGGGAGTTGTAGTTTCCAATCACTGGAGTAGTGGGTAGAATTCAGAAAGCTGGAGTAGGGGGTGGAGTCCAGAAGACTCTGCAGAGTTCCTTTAGGACATCCTTCCCCTTAACAGGTGTACCAGAGCAGTGTCTGTAATAGTGACGGGAACCTCCTGTCCACAGAAAGGTGAACCAGTGCATCGTGACTCATTTACTGTAGATACTATTGTGAAAATATGAGACCGAGAGCTCAACTGTCAGAAAGGGGACATTTCAAAAACACAAGGTTGAATGAGGGGGAAGTGACATGCACATGCAGCCTGCCTGTGCTTTCAGGAGGCTAGGGACAGGCCCCCGGCTTCTGCGTTCTGTCAGGGACATGCAGTCTGAGGGAACAGGCCCCACTGGCGTGGACCAGAATCCCCCAGACCCGGGAGTGGCTGCCGCTGCGGTGGGTGGAAGAATGGCCACTCAGGGGCGCGCCAGCTGGGCTGAGATTTCCTCCCTCACACACACAGAGAGGTGGGCACTGTGTTTCCCAGTAAACACACACAAAAAGAAGATTCCCAGAATCTTCTTTTTTTCTTAGTATTTCACGGAACCAGGCATGTCCCACCTTATCATGTCAACATGTGATTCATCAGGGCGAACACTTCCCATAAAGACGTTTACATCCCTTTCTCGGAACAAAGTCTTTGAACTCCCACTTGGTGTCTCTCACCTAGGGCACATCTTGTATCAGGCACCCAAAAGTCCCCCTGGCAGGTGGCCACTGTTCTCCAGGCCACGCTCAGCTCAACCCAGGTGGCGGCTGTACCTGGCCTTCCTTTGTGAACTGGAAAATCTGTGATAATGATGGTGGCAGGGTCAGCAAATACCCCCACTTATTGGGCATTTGCCATGTGCCAGCACTTTGTATTATCTCATTCAGTCCTCTTATTTAATTCTTCTTTTTTAAAAATTATGGTAAAATATAAATACCTAAAATTTCCCATTTCACCCTCTCTGCATGCCTCATTAATTTTGATTTTTTCTGGCCTAAATATTTTATAATAATTCTCTCTATGTCTGTGTCTCTCACGCATGCATTGGGACAGCCATCTGTGGGGTGGTGGGTAGACAGGAATCAGGGTGCAGCTCTCTGTCACCCTCTAGGGAAGTCTGAGTTCCTGGACCTCATCCTTGGCACGGCAGGCGGCAGGCAGGCAGCAGGCAGACGAGAGCCCCTTGTCGTGAGACCAGAGGGGTGAGTCAGTGAGGTCAGGCCAGCGTGGCTGGGGCACATCCTGCCACTTACTGACCGTGGCCTGGGGCCTGTCACTTCATTTCCCCAGCTTCTTCCTTCATCTTCATCAAGCGGGGCCAGTAATTCCCAGGGCTGCCGGGGAGGACTCAGTGACATCATGTAGGAGAAACACGGTCTTTATTGTCCCTTATGGGGCATGCAAGGACACAGGCAGAGGGCGTCCACCCCCCAGTCCGCCTCACTTTCCTCGTCAGCACATGGGAGGAACAGCCCCGCGGTGCATCCCTTGGGGCTGCTGAGTGGATGTAATAAAGAGCAGGGAGTGTTTACTGTATTTGTAGAGGCACAGGGGAACATCCCCACCCCACCCCTTGGGGGGCTTCTGAGGCTGGGTAAACAAACAGAGTAATGTCCAATAGCTTAGTAGGAGAGAAAAAACAACTTTAGTAGCATAGGTATGCATAAGCTTCAGAACTGTAAATTCCTTTTTTTTTTTTAAAGATTTATTTATTTATGCATACAGAACTGGAGTACAGGCCAGAGGTGCAGGGTCAGTGAAAGGATTCACCAGAGGCAGAGTTGGGAGAACAGGCAGATCGACGAAGTACACTGCTGTGGAGAGCAGCGGGCGGGCCAGGAGAGGTCTACCTGGCCATGTGGTCACCTCCAGGGCAAGCGTGGATCGAACTCATGCTGCAGTGGCCTTGGCTTCATAGTGCTGTGCTTTAACCCACTGCGCCACCAGGGAGGGCCTGTAAATTCCTTTAAAAAAAAAAAGTTATATATTTATACTTACAGAACTGGGGTACAGGCCAGAGGTGTGGTGGGTGAGAGTCTTCACCAGAGACAGAGCAGGGGAGCAGAACAGGCAGATTGACTGATGTCTGCTGAGGGGAGCAGCGGACGGGTCTGACATGCCATGTGGATCACCTCCCGGGCAGGGGTCAAACTCATGGTGCAGTGGCTGCGAACAGCTTCACAGTGATGTACTATCCTGTTGCGCCTTCGGGGAGGGCCCCATAACTGTAAGTTCTGAAGGAAAAGGGGGCAAACCAGGAGTTTGTATCTGGTGCTCAGGGGCTTGAAGTACCAGGAAGGGGCGTGTCACATGATGAGGAGGGGTGAAACCTATGACAAAGCTTTGCCTCTGGATGTGCGCCCTGCCTTCAGGTAGGTTTCTCTGATAAAAAGGTGGTTTCTGGTGATGCCCCTACATCCAGGTAACCTTCATCCTTTGAGTAACAGTATCAGTTTCTCCCGAGGGCAACAGGGCCTCCATTAACCTTCGTGCTACATACCAAGATCTCACGTATTGGAAGAGGCTTCTCTGGCCACCCTGAGAAAAGCCTGTCCAGATCTTTTTGGTGGGATTGACCCTATACTAGCATTTAAATGGTAAATGGCTTCCTCATTCTCGTGGGGCTCAGGTCAGAGAGAGACAGGCATCATGAGTGGTTAAGTGACTCACCCAAAGTCACACAGCAGTTAGTGTGCCCACTGGCCCGGCTAGTCAGGCAGACTGGCAAGCACCTTGACCCCTCCAGTGGGGCTTTACTTGTGGCACCTCAGGTGACCTGAGTCTTCTCTGGAGACCAACCCAATGAGTTCCCCATGGTCACTCAGGTTGGCCTGCGCCTCTGGCCTTTGGCTTCAGCCCTGGCAGTTCCAGCTGAGTCTGCTCTGTTCTGTGCTCTCCAGGAGCACACTGCTTGACTCTGACCCTCGTTCACTGTAGGCCTTCTCAACTAGCTGGGTCCTCGGGGTCCACATCACTTCTGAGGCCAGAGGTGGTCCTGTCCACAGGGTCCTGTCCACCTCACCCAGAACCTACCCTCCCATCTCACTGCCGAGACCTTGAGTGTCACCTTGAGGATGAATGGGAGCGCATCCTTGCAAGCCAGACCAGCCTCCAGGTTTCTGCCAGGGAATGATGGTTGAATGGGCCAAGTCTCTCCCAGGCCACCACAGTGGAACCCTAGTACTTTGTTTCCAAGGAGTGAGGGATAAGAGCATGGAATCTGGGGTCAGATGCTCTGGTTTTGAACCTTGCTGGGACTTACCTTGGCAGATTTCTTTGCTTCTCCAAGTTTTCTCCCAGGTAAAACAGAATGATAGTGCTGAGATCAAATAGCAAGGACTAAATGAGCTAATGCACATGAAGAATTTCACGCAGCGTGTGGCCCAAAGTGAGATCTCAGGGAATGTGGATGACGAGACAGCTGTGAACACAGAGGGCAGTGACGACCAGGCAACCTTCAGTGGTTTGGGAGGCTTCATTTTGCCCCTGCCTTTTCCTGCTACACCCTGAGGCTCTTAAACAGCAGAGCATGTTCAAGACAAAACAAAATAGATAGAACATCTCCCAGTTAAAAATTACCAGTTCTGGGGGAGGGAAATGCACTGGAGTATGGTGATGGCACATGGGTGATTTGGTGATGGGAAACCCAAGGGGATTGCAGCTGAGATGGAAAAAATGCACAAAACTATGTAAAAATAAACTATTATAAAATTTAAAAAAATCACTCTATAAAGATAAAAAAATTACCAATTCGACCCATGTGCTATGAAATATTTTGAAATACTTTCCAAACTGCAGATGGGGACCTGCTATTGGGCAGTGAAATCAATTTAGGAGGTTGGTGCCAGTGTGTTTGTAATAAAAGAAAAAGAAAAATCAAATAGAAAGGAACCTCTCAGAGAGCCTGGTAAACACCACTTTAGGACGTGTTTGTTGCAGTATTACAGGGTGCATTTAGCATGTTTATGGGGTTGCAATGTAAGTGCGTTTCTTTTTGTGGGTTGTGGTCAAAAAAGGTTTGAAAGATAGCAATTAAGGAAAGACCATGGGTCTCCAGAGGTATCCCATTTCATTTGTGACTTTTTTCATCGCTTTAGCATTTCCAAGCAGAGAAGAATCTGTGTGCCAAGTGTGGCCTCCTTTCTCTCTCCTTGCAGAATCAGCTTCCCAGGGCCCCCTGGACCTCACTGAGCTTATCGGCGTCCCACTGCCCACATCCGTGTCCTTCGTCACAGGCTATGGTGGTTTCCCTGCCTACAGCTTCGGCCCCGACGCCAATGTTGGCCGCCCGGTTAGGACTCTCATCCCGTCCACCTTCTTCAGGGACTTTGCCATCAGCTTCACAGTGAAGCCGGGCAGTGCCCAGGGCGGTGTGCTCTTTGCCATCACCGATGCCTTCCAGAAAGTCATCTACCTGGGCCTGCGGCTCTCAGGCGTGGAGGATGGCAGCCAGCGGGTCATCCTGTACTACACCGAGCCCGGCTCCCATGTGTCCCGTGAAGCTGCTGCCTTCCCGGTGCCCGTCATGACTCACAGGTGGAACCGCATGTCCGTGATCGTCCAGGGCGAGGAAGTGACCCTCCTGATGGACTGTGAGGAGCACAGCCATGTCCGCTTCCGGCGCTCCACCCAAGCCTTGGCTTTCCACCCCAGCTCAGGAATTTTCGTGGGCAACGCAGGAGCCACAGGGCTGGAGAGATTCATTGTGAGTCTGTGCCCACCGAATGGGGAGGCTGCTGGACAGGGGCTCACTGCGGCAGGCCTGGGGGCACGACTGCCATTATTGTTTCCTTAGGTCTTCAAAGAGGCCTGAGGAAAAGAAAGCCAAGCCCAGCCCCCAAAACCTAGACTCCGGTCCTCAGCCAGCCCTAATTTAGCCTGATGGTTTTTAACAGTGCTCGGGGCCTCTGATCCTCCATTTTCTGATATGTCATTGGGGACCCACATGTGCTCCTAGGTGGAGGGAGACAAGTCACTGTACATTGTCAGGCTCTGTGAAGAATGTGGTTTCATCTTTGGATGTGGGTGGCTACATTGAAGAAATTTCTAGCAAGGTGGATAAGCTAGAATAATAGAGTGTGATTGTTCCTCTTATTCCTTTTGAATGCTGTGCCCTGAAAAAATAGCAGAAAACTGACTTGACAGTCAAAATGGGCTTGTGTGAATAAGCCTGACTATCAAAACACCCTGAGTTGTTATTCACTTAGCACATGGGCGCATGGCCCCCTCTCCTTGCTAATACCGCAGGCTGGGTTTGGGTTTATTCATAGTACAGTGGAAGACATGAGTAGTGAGAAATTAAAGTTTGATCAACAATTAAAAAATTTTGGGATCATCTTAGAGAATGAACTGTCAGGTATGGGAAGAGGAGGCTAGAGTAGAGGCAGGAAAGATTGGCTGGCAGCTTTGGGGGGACAAGGCAGCCCAGCCAAGAACTTTGAGCTACAGAAGAGTTTCTAAAGGGTGGGTGCATTTTAGGGTTTGACAAGCTGAGGACCCCAGTGGACAGGAAGTGACCATATTAGTTTGCATTTTGAACACATTCCCCAAGGACCTTGGCCCAAGGAGAGTCCCTCTAAATAAGAGGGGACTTAGGGTTGGCTTGTGACCCCTCTGCTTTCCCCCAGGGTTCCATTCAGCAACTCATGATCTATCCGGACCCCAGGACTCCTGAGGAGCTGTGTGAACCCGAAGAATCCTCGGTGAGCCCCCACACCCCCCTTAACATCCCCAGAGTGGGCCCGGCAGCCACAGCCATCAATCAGTCAGAAGAAGGCTGGGTTTTCCAGACAATTCTTCACTCCCAACGTCATGGAGTCTCTAAAATGTTTCATCTTGGCAGGCGCTGCTGGCTCCTATTTTGGGCTTTTGGACTTTTTTTTTTAAAGAGCTTCAGCCATCTTTTTGGTGTGGGGGCTTGTGTTTCTTTTTAAGGTGTTAAATTCTTCCATGGAGTGCCAGTCAATGGCCTGGTTTCCAGACTTCCTGCCAAGAAAACGTGTCAGGATTCTAAAACTGAAGTGAAAACTCCAAGACATTCTGGGTGTAAATTCCTATAAAAATGAACTTAAAATGAGCTTTTTTGCTTGGCAAATGAATTAAGTAAAGGGCGGAGTGGTGGACAAGGTCCTCCTATTTTTCCTCCTTCCTTCCCTGTCTCCCTCTCTGCCTCTCTCCTCTCTTCCTCTGCCTGCCTCCTTCCCTCTTTGTCTCCTTCTTTTCTCCCTCCAGGCTTCCCTAACTGCCTTCTGGGCGACCGCCCTAGGGAGAGACAGGAGATAAAACAATAAATAGGGAACTGTTTCCCTCTTCAAGCTACTCACAAACTTTTACACACCTAAATGCAGTGACAGCTGAGTGTGACTGGAACACAGAGGAGGTCCTCTCACCCAAACTGTGGGATGGGTGGGGGTAGGAAGTGGAAGGGAAGCAGTCAGGAAGGAGTCAATGTGGACCCCTGACAAGCAAGTATGGGCCTTGTGAATATCATGCAAATGTAATGTGATGTTCATGTGGTGGTCATGAGAATGTCATACAATATTATATGAAAGTCATGAGAATGTCATGTGTTTGATCACATGACATCATGCGAGTGTCATGTGATTTTTATGTGACCCGCTAAAAATCAATTCAAACTAATTCTAACCAAATGAAACTGGTTCTGACCAGGCAATGTTGGCTCAAACAGGTTCTGGCCAGATAAAACCAGTTCAAAACTGTTCTGACTGGGAAAAAAAAACTGGCTTGAACTAGTTTTAACTGTACAAATCTGGTTCTAACAGGATAAAAACCAATCAAAACTTGTCCAAACTTGTTCAGATTGGATAAACAGGTTCAAACTGAATAAAACTGGTTCTGACCAGATTGCACTGGTTTAAACCAGTTTAAGCCTGCTCAAACCAATTCTGACCAGATTAATCTGTTTTAAACCTGTTTTGCCCAGACAGAAACCAGTTCTGACTAGATAAAACTGGCTCTGGCCCAACCATTTCAAACCTGTTAAACCATTTCAAAGCTGTTCTGACCATATAGAACTGGTTCTGAGCTTATTAAACCGGTTTAAGCCCACTCTGAACAGATAAAACTGGGTCAAACTAGTTCTGAACATTTAACACCAGCTCAAACCAGTTCTGACTGGCTACAACTGGTTCTGACTGTATAGAACTGGTACAAAGCAGTTCAAACCTGCTCTTACTGGACAAAACTGGTTCTGAATGCACTAGATCAGTTCAAAACTGGTTGTGATCAGTAAAACTGGTTCTGAGTTGATTAAATCGAGTCCATTCTGAGCAGATAAATTGGTTCCAATCAGTTCTGACCAGATAAAACTGGCTCAAACTGGTTCTGACCAGGTAAAACTAGTTGAAACTGGTTCAGACAAGATGTTGGTTCAAACTGGTTCAAATCAATTAAAAAAAGTTCAAACCAATTTAAACTGTATAAAACCAGTTCAAACTGGATCAAACAGTTTCTCAGATTTAAAACAAGCAAATATGGGCCAGACATGGAAGAAGCATTCCAGGCAGAAGCTATCTGTGATGCCAGTGGTTGGAGGGAAGCCCAACGAGTGTGGTACCTTCTTAGTTTTTGTCCCTAAAACCAAAGTTGATTTCATTCATTCAGTAAAAAATGTGGCTGACTTCATTCAGGGATGAAAATAGGCTCTGTAAGGGTGTCTGCACTCCCTTAGCCCTGAACCCAGCATGGCATTCAGGGTATGAACTCTTCCACCTTACACTGCTGATAGTGTAGAAAAAGTAGAACAATCCAAGAGTTTACAAAGTCGTGGTGCAATGGCTGCTTGGCTACCACGTGGCGACTCATTATGAAGATTAAGTAGCAACTGTAAGCAATGTTTGCGGTGTCCTGGTTCCCATTGTGAAATCCTGGAGACAGCCACGCAAAGCTTGGGCATGTCTTTCTGTACCGTGCAATCCCCATAGAAAGGGAAGATTCCAGGTCCCTGCCCTATCTCAGGAAGGCTGGAGCTAACAGCCAGGGGAAGCTAGGGAGGGGCTTGGAGAGAAGACTTTGACACCGAGGAGACTTGAGAGACAACAACCTGGAGAAGCCACATGGAGCAGAGACATGTGAAGAAGAAGCTGCACTTGTTTCTCAGACTCGGGCTAGAACGAGGAACATGGGCACGTGGCAGGAGACACTTGGAGGAGATGTGGGAGAGAGACCTGGGGGGCATGGGCTTAACGCCTCTTTCTGCTTCTTCCAGTTTGAACTGGAACCCAGGGTGCCCCTCAGTTTGCCTGCTAACATTTTGACAGAGATCGATGGGAGGGTGAACAAATGAAAATAATTGTATTAGAGACTAAATTGATTGCAATAAAAGAAGTTCAAACCAATTCAAACTGTATAAAACCAGTTCAAACTGGAAGAAGCAAAAAGAGGCGCTAAGCCCATGTACATGTGCTCTCTCAAACCTACCCTGTCTGTGTCTCTGTCTCACACATGCACACCCCAATCCCCACCCCAGCTCCCCCACAGGGCTGGTTTCTTTAATTTTCCTGGCTGAAAGCTGCCCCTGTGCCTGGATTGATTTGTCTTCCCACAGGCATCAGGGGAGAGCAGCGGCCTTCAGGAGGCGGATGGCGTGGCTGAGATCTTAGAAGGCGTCACCTACACCCAGGCCCCGGTGAGTGAGTGTGGTGCGGTGGCGTCTGTGTGGGCATGGAGGGCTGAGAGTTAGTGGGGAGTCCTGGAGCCTCAGGTCTGACCCACTGTTCTCAGATATGTGACTTTATCAGTCCCTCTGGGGAAGTCAGGAGACTTCTGGTCAGTGGACATTTTGAGGTGTCCCCAGGGCCCAGAAATGCCAGTTACCTCACTGGCAGGCAAATGGGCCCTGTCCCTCCCTGCTGTCTAATACTCAGCCAGCTTCTCTTCCCTAAAACAGCAATCCAGTGCTATCCAACGGGCTATGGCGACAGGCAGATGAGGAAGCTGGGGTGTCAGCCTGGTGCCTGCGTGAGGAAGGTGGCCCTGGAGGGTGGCTTCTGTCCCACAGGCTGGGGCTCTGGCTGTGAGAGAGAAGGCAGGGCCCCCAGCCTGCGGCTTGCAAGTCTGTCTTCCCGGGAGCCCACTTCTGGCCCCATGGGCAAGGCAGCCCTCCTTCCAGGGGTGTGGGCCTCCCCCCCTCTCCTGGAAATGGCCCTGTGGCGAGACAAGGAAGTGGTTTTAAAAGCTCTGAGTCAGTCGGGCTAAAAAGCCCATTTTCAGTGAAAAAAGCCAGCAATGCCTGAGTGGCTGGGCACAGAAATTGCAGGCTTGTCCTCCGCTGGCTTGCACGGGTCGCTGCTAGGGAAAAGCAGGGAGATGGAATAAGGCAGCAGCTACACATGGCGGAGTTCCAGTGAGAGTGGTGTGGACGGGCTGCAACCATTGTCTCTCATCACTGGGGCCTCCCATATGTAACTCTTCCTGCTATAAAGACGTATAGAAAACGGCCATTTGTACAAATGGACAAATGGATACCTTGTGCCTGGAAGAGACTAGCTGGCCCGAGGGTGCTGGGGCAGACCTGAAGCTAAAACGCAGGTCTTGGGATGTCCATCCAGGGCTCAGGCCATGCCCTATGCCGCTGGCTGATAGAGGCCCAGTTCCTGGGCTTTGGGGCTGGAGCAGTCTGGGGTTCAAGGTGCCCATTCAAGGGCAGTGTTTGTGCCCATCAGCGGTTGGCCACTCTGTGGCATGCCCCAGGGCACAGAGAGCTGGTCCCTCGGGCGTTCCAGCTTGAGGTTGCCCTCATGTCCCCCTGGCCATTTCATACCTAGATGCAAGATGGGTTCAGGCAGAGATGCCAGTGACCCAAGGTAGTCCTGAGCGAGAGTTTGAGAGCATGAAGTGACTGGGTGGGAGCTAGTTAAGGAGGGCTTTCTGGTAGAGGGAGCACAGAAACCAAACAGCTTTGGACAGAAGCAGAGCAATGGTGGAGGGAGGAAGACCAGTGTCCTGCATCCCCACTCTGTGCCTGGTGCTTTGTACAGGTGACAAAGTTGAGCCTTCAGCAAGCCTGCAAGGACATGGCAGCAGATGCTCTGGAGAACAAGGCGGCTTGCTGGGTCCCACAGTGTTGGGGCTGGGACCCAAGCCCCCTAGTGCTTTCTCTTCTGGGTCATGGGACTGCAGTGCAAAGCAAAAGGGGGAGCAGGTGGCAATTCCCCAAAGTGCCAGGAGGAGTGCGAAAGGACAGTGGGCCGGGTGACGCGTGCAACAGCCACACTTTCTCGCTTAGATCCCTCAGCTCTGGTCTCTGTGGTTTTAAGAGAGCTGGTGCAGACCCACCAAGTGTGGGTTCAGCTCTACCATTCACCGTTGTTGAACTTGAGCCAGGAACATACCCACCCTGGGTTTCCGTTTCCTCTTCTGCTAACAAGGAGTGTACCTCAACCTAGTGAGAGTTGGGCGGCTGGACCCGTGCGAGGGTGTTGGCTCCTGTTGGGAGGCCCAGAGGTGATGTGCAGGGTGTCCTGTTCACATGGGCAGCCCCAAGCTGCTTGCTGCCCTGTTGGCTCCTGGTGCGGGCCGAATCCCTGAGCTTGCCCTCAGTCCCTAAGCAGATTCCCCTGGCCCAAGGCTCTGGACAGCAGACTTTCTTCACGCTAGAGCCACCATTGGGGTACCATGAGGAGAGGCTTCCCCCCACCCCTCCTTGTAGAGACTGGTTGTTCGTTTGCCCATTTAGCCCTCTCTGTTGAGCGCCTCCCCTGTGTGGGCTGGGATGCAGGGCTCACAGAAATATGGACTCTGTGCTCAGACGGCTTTAGCCAAGATGAGCCTTGCTGTAGAATGAACAGAATTTTGTCACCCCCCAGGGCTCACCTTCAGCGACTGCCCAGGTCCCCAGCAGACAGGTCGAGGCATTCTGGCTTCTTCAGCACTTGGTGGATATTTGATATTCTCCAGTGGTATTTGTGACTGTTTTTGCTGCCTTTTTTTTTTTTTTTAAGATTTATTTATTTATTCATACAGAACTGGGGTATAGGCCAGAGATGCAGAGGGTGAGAGGATTCACCAGAGACAGAGTGGGGAGCAGAACAGGCAGATATACGAAGTACACTGCTGAGGGAAGCAGCGGGCGGGTCAGGAGAGGTCTGCCGCGCCATGTGGTCACCTCCGGGGCAGGCGGAAATCGAACTCATGCTGAAGTGGCTTTAGCTTCTTAGTGCTGTGCTTTAACCCGCTGCGCCACCAGGCAGGGCCCAATAAATATTTTTTTTTTAAAGGTTTATTTATTTGTGCATACAGAACTGGGGTACAGGCCAGAGGCTCAGGGGCGGTGAGAGCTTCACCAGATACAGAGTGGGGAGCAGACAGGCAGATCGACGGAGTACACTGCTGAGGGAAGCAGCGGGCGGGTCAGGAGAGGTCTGCCGCGCCATGTGGTCACCTCCGGGGCAGGCGGGAATCGAAGGGGCCTAAGTTTCTGAGTGCTGTGCTTTAACCTGCTGCGCCACCAGGGAGGGCCTTTTGCTGCTTTTTTACCAAACAAATCTTGATTCTCATTTCTCCTCCCTTCAGTTTAAGGAAGAAGAAATTGAACCCATAAACAGTCCTCCAACTCCATTAACTCCCTTTGAGGATGCTGAAATTTCTGGAGAACCTATACCTGAGGTTGAGGGGACCCCAGGAGCCACCAACACCAGCGACATCTTACTCGGGAGCCCCGAGCAAGGCAAGTCCCTGGTGCTCCTTTGTGCGCTGGGCATTGGGTAGTGGCTGTGTGCCCAGATGGGCTGGTATGTGAACGAGAGTGCCTCACCCCAGCTTCCCCTCAGCCTTTTTGAGAATCGTGTTCATTTTACATGCAAGAGAGGGAAACTGAGTCACTGGGCAGTTTGTCTCCCAGCAGAAGCAGAGATAGCACTTGACTTTGGATAACTAAACTTTTTTTTAAAGATTTATTTACTTATGTATACAAATTGGGGTACAAGCCAGAAGTGCAGGGGCAGTGAGAGGCTTCACCAGAGACAGAATGGGGAGCAGAACAGGCAAATCAACGAAGTACACTGCTGAGGGGAGCAGCGGGTGGGTCAGGAGAGGTCTGCTGCGCCCTGTGGGTCACCTCTGGGCCCCGGGATCGAACTTGCAGTGAAGTGGCTGCAGCCAGCTTGCAATGCTGCTCCCTAACCCATTGCGCCACCAGGGAGGGCCCGAATACCTGAACTTTTAATCCCCCAACTCCATCCCTCCCGAACGGGTAGGGGCTTAACAGAAAACCAAAATTGCTCCTGCTCATTGAGCCCTATGGCCAGTGTTTACAGACTTCAGTGCCCACCCTGACAGCACATCTCCTAGTCACTCTTAATACCCGTTATTTTATAGGTCACAGACACTTGTGCTTGCAAAGGTGGGTGTTGCACCCAAATCCCCAGACCTCCTAAGTGGTAGGAGACAGCTCCAGTCTGACTCCAGAATCCCCAGCCTTTCCAGTCTCACCACCAATTCCCCAACTCTCAGGCCACCTCAGCTCCTGTGGGGCCGATGTGGGGTGCCAGCGAGCTCCAGGACCCCAGGACACTCACACAAGCTCTGGGAAAGCTGAGCCCCAGGCTATCCATGCAGGGTGCTCATCCCCCAGTTGTGCAGAGGAGCATGGACAAGAACCCAGATCTGATGTCACCCCAGATGGCAGCTTGATAGCTGCTCCAGGTCTGAGAGGGACCTATGTTTTCTGCCCTATAAGACGGGGTGTCATTTCAGCACAACAGTAAAGCCAGCACCAGAGCACTGAGATTTACAAGGTCAAAAGACAGCCCAGACCACTTGCAGATGGGACTGGCTGGGCAAGTTGATTTTCATTCATATGTACAAACGCTCAAAGGGGGTGACACAGATGATTCGTGACCCAGGGACGTGCTCCTGGTGCTTGACCTCCACAAAAAAGCAGATCTTAACCCTGTTTGCTATGGCCTGGATTTTGAGTATGTTCTTTGTATCTATTTCTAGGCGGCTATGTAGGGCAGTGTGTGTGTGTTAGAGCCATATGAAACAAAATACTGTGGGTGTTTTTTTTTTCTTTCTTTTTTGTATTTTGCAAGTCCTCTATAATCATGTATTGCATCCTGCTTTTTACTTCTGCCATCTCTACACTGTGCCTTTAACTACTCAGCTTAGGGAGCCTGTGGGGCAAAGGACTGAATACCAAAAAATTGTCCGATTTAACAAAGTCTTAGCCCTAGGAAGGCTCAGGGAATCGCTGTGGGAGTCTGGAGGCAGCGCAGACAGTTTGGATGGGAGCCCCTGCACAGCTGTCTATTTGCTGTGAGCCTGGGGTCAGTTGCTTAACATGTCCGAGCTCTAGATTCCTTGGCTATCCGCTGGGAAGCTTCACAATCCCTGCCCCCCCGGGTGGATGAGAGGATTGAATGGGCTGGGATGTGGCAGTGGTTTTATGAATTGTGAAAGCTGTTCTCCTGGGTGAAATTAGGTTCTCCGAGGAGGGCCGAGAAGCCAGCAGAGGCCGCAGGGCAAAGGCTTTGGGGCTGAGGGAGGACTCCCCTCCACTGAGTGTTGAGTGCAAAGGAGGAGGGAGCCAAGTGGAGAGTGGGTCCCAGATCCCTGCACTGCTTGGTGGGTCCCTGGCAAGCAAAACTCAGTCCCAGCCAAACTCCTTATCTAGGAGACAGAAGGTCATGCAGAAATAACAGAGCTGACTGAAATGTTGCCTTACTGTTTGTTGAGTAGACACCCTAGAAAGGGAGGAGAAAGTCCTGAACCCTGAGCCCCATTCCCTGGCTAGGGAAAGCCCCCTCGCAGTTGTAGTCCCAGCTTCCCTGACGTCATCTAGGCCCTGGAAGCAGGACACCCCCAATCCCATCCTCCAAGGGTTGAGGACGCAGAGGCCCTCCAGCTGCTTGCACAGTGCCCCCTGGTGGTCAGAGCGGAAAGAGGTGAGAGTGCAGAGCTAACACGCAGGCACTCTGCATTCAGGATGTGCATGAGGGCTGGATCCTGGAAATAACCTACACTGCCCTCCGGCGCTCACCTTACCCTGGGACACGTGTAAGCAAAGCGTCCGTGGAAAGGACTTGGCACAGGAACAGGCTGACCGGACTTTAGGACCCTCCCAACCACTTGTTCTCTGCAGGCCCCACTCCTCTGCAAAAGGGGTTAATGATAATAGTGTGCCGTTATGGGGATCAGAGCAGAACACACATGATAATGGAAAGAGTGACAACACTCTTGTCCGGAGCCTGCCAGCTGTGAGGTATGGAAAGGTGCTTATAGGTAGCACAGATGGGCATGCCCCAGCCACAACAGGCCTCCCTTCCTGTTGCTACAACTTCTTTTTCTTTAGGACTCTATTTTTTTTTTTAAAGATTTATTTATTTGTGCATACAGAACTGGGGTACAGGCCAGAAGCTCAGGGATAATGAGAGGCTTCACCAGAGACAGAGTGGGGGGCAGGACAGGCAGATATACGAAGTACACTGCTGAGGGGAGCAGCGGGCGGGTCAGGAGAGGTCTGCCAGCCATGTGGTCACCTCCGGGGCAGGCGGGAATAGAACTCTACGGAAGTGGCTGTAGCTTCTCAGTGCTGTGCTTTAACCCGCTGTGCCACCAGGGAGGGCCTTTTTTTTTTTTTTACTGAAAAAGAAATCTGTGTGGGGGTTAACAGTACAATCAATTTGGAGGGAAGAAACCAAAAAGATAGTCACTGCTCTCTTCTTGCTTCTAGGGGAAGAAAATGTCAGGCATTGTGGTCCAGCTAAGCATCTGGATACACATATTCACACAGATGTGTCGTATAGGTTATGTGAGAATTGCCGTCTAACACAAACATGTTAGACAGATGTGTGTTTGTGTGTGATCATGGTAAGACATGTGTACTCATGTGTCCATTTCCCTCTTTTACAAATAGAAACCACACTGACAGTGAACATCTACCCACTGCTTCCTGTGATGCCAGAGGCCATGCCCAGTGCTTTTTCTGCACAAACTAACTTGATTCTCAAAATTGCCCTAGGAGAGAGGGAGTATTATTCCCTGCTTATGGATGAGGACCCTAAGGCCCAGGTCGAGTAACTTGCCACAGGTCACGTTAGTAAGTGACAGAGCAGGGTTCCAGCCCATGCTTGGTTCCAGAGTCTTTGATGGAAACAGCCTTAAATGCCACCGTTGGGTGTTTATTTTCCAGCAGCTTGTTGTTTTCTCTTAAATCTGTGGAATGGTCATCATTTTCAAGTCAGTAGGTAGACTTCATCCTGTTTCTAGACTGAAAATGCAGCTCTAGTGACATCACGCATGCTTCCTGTAGGGTCAGGCGAAATCCTGAATGACACGCTAGAGGGGGCTCACACTACTGCCATGACAGACCTCGGCTCGGGGGATGGAACCTTCATCCATGTCACTGAAGAGGTGAGTGAATGGTAAAAGCCATTTGGTCAGTCAGTACTGACCTTGCGGGCTTAGTTCAGACTCACATGGTGACTTGCGTGGGGCACAGGAGGCCGTTAGCTGACTGTGGTGTGGGGTCCCCCTCCTCCTCCTACAGGGGAGGCAGGAGTCCCAGGGTTCCCCACCCCTGCCCCCCAGGCTGCACTAGGACAGTTGGCCTTCACCCCCTTCTGGTAATGAGGGCCTAGCCTCACTCTGGCGTCTCAAGCTCAAGTGTGGGGTGCACATCTTTTTCGCCCTTGGGCTTTTTTTAGGCAGAATCAGATTAACCACAGGAATGTCGCCTGTATGTTTGGTAACTGGCTACCAACCAGGTTGTTCAGTGCAGGCTACACAGGCTGTCAAATTCAAACAGATACATTTTTGTCACCACTAATTTGCTGCAAACCCTGCTGTGTTGTTATCTCCTTCACCACCACCCCTCCAGTGTCAGCTTTTTCACCTCCACTCCTGGGAGAAAAACTGAGACACTTCATGGCTCTCCTAGTCATGAATGGTAGCCATTTATTTTCATAGATACTTTATAAGTCCAGCATCATATTAAAAATGCGGTAAAAATACAAATACAACTCTCTCCTGAACCCGGGCCTGCTGCAGGCAGGACCCAGCCAGGAAGGGGAAGAAGCATGGTCTGGGGTTCTCTCTATTTTCTTACCCCTTCTCTGCCCTCCCTTTCCTCCCTGTCTAAGCTACTTTGACCTCTGCTGAGAAGGGCCACTTAGGGATAGGATGCTGTTTAATGTGGCTGGTCAAATTGCCATCGGGGCTTTAATGTCGAAGATGCCTGATTGCTGAAAGCTTTGTTGGGGGGGCGGGGAAGAATTTGGTAGTTTCTTGAACGTCCTCCTGCAGGGCATCTGAGACTAAAATTCCATTATTGGCCTTTTAACTTCTGCCTGAACTTCCAGCCCTCCCCTACAAACCCCCTTCCCCCTTCCCCCATGAGGGTGGCCCTTCCTGTGAATGGTGTAAAGGCCCTTTGGGTAGACTCCTTGTCAAGCTGCTTTAGCCGGCTCCTTTTTGTCTCTGCAGAGGATAACTGTAAAGCAAAGTGGCTCTCTCCTTCTCCCCCTCCCTCTGGCCTTTCCTCCCTTCCTCGGGCCTCCTGTCCCTTTGGATCTAGAAGGCTGCCTACTTTTGCCTTCCCAGCTCTCCTGGAGGGAATCAGTCTTCAGCCCCATTGTTTCCTAAATCCCAAAGACTACATAGCTGCTCACCTAAGGCTTTGTAGTGGAGGGAGGGAAGGAGAAAGTCACAGCCCCTGAACACTCTCTCTCCCTGGGGAATTCTTACTCTAGTCTCTGTCCCCAGATAAATCCCTCAGCTTTTTCTGCACAGCCCAAGGCAGAAAAAGTAGGTGGAGCTGATTTCCTTCCACTGTTTCCTGGCCAGTCCTACATGCATGGTGTGGCAGCTTCTCTTAGAATAAGGAGGTGACCTGTTCCCAGTAGCATTGTGCTAGTCCTTTGAGTCTTCAGCTGAAGTGGAGTCTGAGAATCTCATTTTTAAAATCCTGTGATCATCACTTCTGTTTGGGGAGACTGTTTCTCGAGGACCTAATGTGTTACACAAAGGATTGCTTCTGTGGTTCTAATAGGTCTGGGGAATGCCTCATTCTATATGATTAGAGCTTCCGCCATGCCCTGCAGAAAGGAAGTCCATCTAACTTTGATCAGCTTACTGTTACTGTTTTTGGTATCCAAAATAAATAAGTAAATAAGTTTTTGCCAGGAAAAACGAAAAACACAAAAAGCTAAAGCAAAACACTTTTTAAATTTGTACATCTATTTACATTATTGTTCATTTTACAACAACGTTGACTTCCCCCTCCCCCACCTGTCATCACCATCGTCTCCCACATTTCTCCCTCCTTCCATCCTCTCTGTCCTCCTTCCGTGTAGGGTCTTTTTTTATAATTGTGTGTTTATTTTTGTTGTGTTGTGCTGTGTATTGTAAAAACAATACACTTCTTTTTCCCTTATGTCTTATTTGGTTCTCTTCAATTCTTCCTATAACTGAAACTACTCGATATTTTTCTTTTTTCCTTTTGACATATTTCACTGAGCATGATCTCTTCCAGCTCCATCCATGTTGCTGCAAATGGCATGAGTTTATCCTTTTTGATTGCTGAGTAATATTCCATTATATATACCCCATCTTCTTGATCCAACCATCTAGTTTGGGCATTAAGGTTATTTCCAGGATTTACCTATTGTAAGTAGTTAAAGCAAAACTTTTTGTGAAACTGGCAACAATGCAGTTTGAAGACAGCTACAGCCGAAGCAGCTCTGTCGCTGTTCAGCAGCATTTGCTGTGGAACCTTGAGAGTCTACCTGTGCCTCTCCTGTGAAGGAAAGAGGAAGCAGGGTGTCCAGCCTGGAGAAGGGCTGCTGGCTGCACACCTACCTGGGCAAAGGCATCGGGCTTGTTACGGCTTCTGGATGGCACCAGAGGACAGACTAGTCTGGAGAGACATTCTGGAGCTGGAGTGGATCAGGAGGGGTCCCTGGCCATGTGCAGACAGCTGCTTGGGATCAGATAGGAGAGAGGGGTGCCTGCTGCCTCTCCTGTCCCAGGGAATCTCTGACGCTGGACTGTTGTGGGGTAGAGTGACATCATAGATGGGAAAGTGCTTTGAAGGAAAGACACTACAGAAGTGCTGGGGGCCGGGTGAGTGGCCTCTGCAGACACAGGCAGGCTGATTGGGGCGGTGGGCTCAGTGCCCTGGTCCCACACAACCCTTTGCTTACAGGGTCCACATATTCAGACATCTTTGGCAGCAACAGCAGCGGCAGATGAGGACGAGGTGCCCGTCAGCACTGCATGGGAAGTGGAGGCCACAAGAGCACCCACTGGGGACCCGACTCTGGCCTGGTCCTCCCAGGACCCCAGGGAAGAGATCACTCTTGTAAGTAGCGGCATGTTTGTCCTGTCCTGGATGAAGGGCATCCATGTGGGAGCAGTCACAGCTTCCGAGCCTGTCTGCAAAATGCAGCGACTGCCTCGTGGGGCCAAGGGGCGCCAGTTGGGAGGCTAAGGCCTTCATTAAATGGGTGTTTGGGGAGCATTGTGCTGTTCCCCTTGGCCTTGGTGAGCAGGATACCCTGTTCCTGTGACAGAGCAGTAAACTGTATACTGTATAGTAGGAGAAGCACAGGAGCCCTGGGCAGAACCCAGACTTAGGGGACACAAGAGACCTGCAGGTGAGCCAAGGGGGGGTTCTTAGAAATGACCTAGCAGCTGGGAGTGAGGGTGCCCCACGGGGGTGGGGGGGGGCAGCAGGAGCAGCTGGCTGGAGGCATCGCTGTGGGCAGGAATGACCTAGCGGAGGGCCGTATAGCTCGGGGTCAGGTGTGCGCCAGCCAGAGCGTGGGGAGACAGGCTGGACAGCCTCCGAGACCTGGATGCTGAGAGGAGCCTGAGTTGTTCAGCAAAAATTGGGAGTCGCTGGAAGTTCTTTAGCAGGAAACGACAGGTCAGAGGGATTTCTGACTCCTGAGTGAGAGGCTGGAGAAAAGCCTCTGGGTGTCCCGTGACTCTTGGGCCGATCCCCCAAGAGTCCCTGTGAGTAAAGGCCTGAAGTTTTGTCCATGTGACTGTTGGGGACCCTGGGGGCAGTTTTAGGCTGGAGGAGGGGTGGAAGCAGAGGACACGGACCTGGAGACTGAGAGGAGCCAGTGCTATGAGCCCCACCACCCCTTCAATGAAAGCTGTGGGTGCCCAGCACCTGGGTTTGGTCCTAGTACCAATAGCTGGCCGAGGGGCCAGCACCCCTTCATGGAGGTTGGAGGGAGGCTGGGATCAACCAGACAGCAGGATACTGCAGGAGCGGCCCCTGTGTGGGTGGGGTGTGAGGTCCAGGTTTCTGTGTCCTGGCCACAGGCCTCGTCCAAGCAGGGGTGTAGGGTGATGGGAGGGAGAGAGGGACAGGATACCTCTTCTCCCTCCAGCGCCAGTGCGGTGTCTCTCTAATGGCGTCCATCCTGATGTCTTCCTGTTCAGGGTCCAGATACTGAAGAAGGTTCAGCCTCAGGGGAGGCCGAGGTGCCCCTTAGCACTAGCCGGAATGTAGAGGCCCACAGTGTACCCAGCGGGGAACCAACCCTCTCAACGTCCATCCAGATCCCTGAGGGGGGCGTCTCGCTGGTAAGGAAGGACATAAGGTGTTAGAGGTTTGAGGTCACAGCTGGGAGCAGACTCGGGCCTTCTCAGAGGATCACTCTGTCAGCAAACCCCAACAGAGGAGCCTGAATGGGGAGAAGGGCCCCCCTCTCTAACCAAATCCTCCCATCCTGGTCAAGTTTTCTCAGGCCTGGGCCAGAGTATAGGAGCCCCTGCAGGCTTCGGGGGAGGAAGGAGAAGCCAACGACCCCAGCAGAGCTCAAGGGTGGATGTGAGACGGCACCCTAACCCTGAACCCAGGAGTCTATGGGCAGAGCTTGGGTCTGCTGGGCACTCTGGCGGTCACAGTGACAAGCGGCCCTGTAGCTTCCTCCCTGTGGTCACACACCCACCACACAGCAGTGTGGACATGGGGTCATGATCCCTCACACCAGTTTTGTTTCAGGGTCCAAACAGTGAAGAAAGTTTGACAACAGCAGCAGCTGCAACAGGCGTGCCGCTCAGCACTTTGGAAGAGGGGGTCAGCAGGGTCCCCACAACTGGCCTGGCCCCTGAGCAAGCAGCCACCTCCGTAAGTGTCTCGCGTGGTCTCTGGCACACAGCAGGAGCGAGACAGAGGCCCATCCCGACTGCGCAGAGGCACCTACCTGTTGAACCTATTGAGCGCGTGGGCGGGCAGAAGGCGACAATGGGAGGGACCCCAACTTTGGCGTGGGAGCATCCAGTTCTTGGCCCCACCTGCTACTTCCTGTCTTGGTCCAAGAATTTTCTGAGCTGGGATGATGAGATGAGAGACGAGTTGGGGGCTAGCTCCTGGGGTGCTGTGAGTGCTCTTACTCTGGGGAGGCCCTCGCAGGAGAGGGTCCTTCAGAAGGGGTTCTCAGAGTCTGCTCTGAATGTGTTGAAAATGTGCCCACGCTGCAGCAGAGACCAAAACTGCAGCGGAGGTGACGTGATTCCTTGTGTTGGTTCGGCTTTCAGGGTCCTGGTGATGAAGACTTCACAGCCACCATGACAGGGGAGCCCCTTAACAGTGCTGGGGCAGAAGAGTTGGGCGGTGTTCCCCCGGAGGGCCCCCCACTTCCCATACCTACAGTCTCTACGGTAGGTGGATCAGAGGTGTGAAGACATGGGTGTTCCTTTTGGTTTGCCAAGTGCCAGATTGAGGCATTTGGAGACCCTGTAACCTGGGAACACACGAGGAAGCTGCAGTGCCCGAGGTAAAAATCTGGGGTACATACCTTCCCGCCTTCTTGTCACCTAGTTCTTTCACTGAAATGAGACATTTCAATCAGCCAGAGTGGCACAGAGATGCAAAGGCCCTTCTCAGATGTCAGGAGAGTCCCATCCTGGAGGTGGAGAAGCTTGGAAGACTTGGCAGGGATGTGAGGGAACAGAGGCAGCAAGGGTGAAGTGTGTGTGTGTGTGTGTGTGTGTGTGTGTGTGTGATGCCCAGGGAATTCATGGTCAAGGGCAGGAAACAAGCTATTAGTGCTGATACTTATAAAGCACTCTGCATTCCCAGTTGATTTGATTCGGTTCGCATCTGCATGTCTGGATCAAGGTGAATGTTCTCTCCAATTTACCGGCAAAGGAAGTGAGACCCATTTTTGAGAGCACAGTTCTGTATGTTAAGTACATTCACACTGTTGCACATCCTCACCTCCATCCGTCTCCAGCACTTTTGGCTGGAGTATTGGAAAACAAATCCCAAATGCCTTATCATTTAACTCATAAATATTTCAGCGTGTGTTGCTATTAGGCTGACATATAATTTTTAGCCATCTTTCAAAATTAACAATGGCTCCTTCATATTACTTAACAGGTGTTAGATATAAAAACGCCTTCTATATAGTTTAAATGTGAATCCAAATAACATCCATGTTGCCTTTGTCTGCTCTCTCTTCAGTCTCCTCTCATCTTAGCTTCTTTCTTCTTTTTGTCACTGATTTGTGGAAGCAGCAAGCTCCAAATGACACCATAGGGTGTCTGTACTTTCTGTGCTGAGAAGCCTGGCGAGGCCATGCTGGAAGGGGGTGTTGGTGGATTTACTACTTTGGGGAATTTCTTTGTTGACATGTATTAACAACCATAGAGCTTCATGTTGACCCAGAATCTTCTATCCTAACAAATGACCTTAAAAGAGATCATCTGATGTGCAAAAAGGCTTTTGTATATACATGGCTGTTAATATCAGTATTGTCCATAACAAGAAAAAAATGGAAATGGTTCAAGTAGCAGACAATGGTGGGGTAATTGAATTAAAGTCATCCAAATAATGCAGCAGACATGGTTATTAAAACTATACTTACTAGAAGTATTTAAGGATCGGGAAATGTTAAGTGAAAAAAGCTGATTAAAACCTCGAGTGGACTGTGTGGTCTTAACTATTTAAAAATAGATAGCTGTAAAAACCATGGGAAGAAAGGCCATTCCTAAATATTAGCAGTTGTTGCCTCAAAGCACTAGAACTGTCATTTCCTAATGTTTCCATCATGGGGCTTTATGAGAGTGACCATGACATTTTTAAAAGCTCTAAGGTAGGGAGAGAAAAGAAAAGGAAAAAGCGAAGACTCAGCGTGTTGTCCTGGTGCATAAGTAATGAGTAGGTCCCACTCCCACCCCAAATGCCCATGTCAGGATCTGGAACATCCTGACCAGATGCCATGATTCCTTACCAATGGCTGAAAGCACAATGGGTCCTCTCTGGTGGCGCAACAGGTTAGAACACAGCCCTGCAAGCTGGCATCAGCCACTTCAGCATGAGTTCGATCCCCGGCCCTGGAGGTGATCCACATGGCGCAGCAGACCTCTCCTATCTCGCCCGCTGCTCCCCTCAGCAGTGTTGATCTGCTTGTTCTGCTCCCCGCTCGGTCTCTGGTGAATCCTCTCGCCACCCCTGCACCTCTGGCCTGTACCCCAGTTCTGTATGCATAAAGAAAAAAAGAAAAGCATAGTGAGGATAGTCAGGAAGTACCCATCCTGGGTCAATTCTGGACCCTCTCTGGAATACTTTTAGGATCATTTTTTTCAATATCAGAGCCATCCAAACCAGTGAGAGGCTACATCCAAACCTATCTGCCAAATATCTGGGACAAATTTATTTAGCTCCCTCAGCTTACTCTTGTACAAAATAAAGATCACACTACCTATCTCTTGGGTTATGGTGAAGATTAGGAGAGCTTGTAAGTGGAAAACTTTACTTAGCATGTAGTAAATATTCAATAAATTAGGTATATAGAACTATTTTGCAGATGGCCCAGAGAGGGATAGGCATTTGCTCAAGGCTACCCAGCAGCAGAGTAGGGGTGAGCACCTTAGGACCAAGGGCCCTGGGATACAACCCTGATCATAGCGCTGTCCATCAGTCCATCACCTCATCCGTGTGGTGCAGAGTCAAAGTGGCCCTAGGCCCTGAGTGGGACAGGGTGGGCCTTGTCCTGGCTCATAAAAAACGCTCCTCCTTAACTCCTAAGTAAGCCTGATCTTAAAGAAGACAGTTTCCCCTGAGAGGTGAGGGGACAGAGGGGACAGGGGCAGGAATGTCCAACATCCCACTGACCAACTGCTTCTCTTTAGGGTGCAGTTGGATCTACTGTCCCCCCTGAACCTACTGGACCCACTGGACCGAAGGTGAGATTCCCACTGACTCCTCGAACATGCAGTGAGCAGGGCCTCCGCCTGTGCGGCAGTAAAGCAGCCACCGGGTGCCCTTGCTGTCAGCCCCACGGGCCTCCCAAGCAGGCCTCGGGACTTCCGCCTGGACGAGAGCCCTGAGCGAGCCCAGGGGCAGAGTCCCACTTATACCCTGTGCTCTCAGTGGCTCACACCTCCCTCAAGCAAACCATGGGCCAAAATGGCCTTGTCACCACAAACCAAACTTGCTTCTCACATATGGCTCCCCACCTCTGGGATGGCACCCCTCTATCTTACTGTGGAGAGAGAAGTTAGGAGACAGCGTGAGGACCCCTCCCCGACCCTTCAGCCCCGATTGGTCTTCCCCACCTTGTGTCACCATCTCCCCTCTCCCACGGACATGCTCACACCGTGGCTACCTTCCTGGGCCCAGCGCCAACCCCAGCCAGCTCCTCCTGCAGCCTCTCTGGGGCACTACTCTCTGTCTGTAGGCACGAAGCGCCAGAAGGTGTTTCTGGCCTTGCCTTTTGTTCCTTAGAGGAATCTGAAGGCACCAACACACATGCTCTGAGTGATTTCTTGGTGGGCACAGAGCACCCACGGGGTCTCAGGATCAGGCCCACTCTGGGGGAGTCTTAGTTTGGAGGGGATGACAGACACACACACAATTAGACTTCAAGTCAGGCCATCTGGTGTCAAATCAAGAAGACATCAGCAGCAGCCCATGGGAACACGGAAGCGGGAGACTTGAATTCTGCCTGTAAAGTAGTGGGGAGGGCTTCATGGAGGAGGTGTCCATGGACCTGGTCGTGATGGATGAGTGGGGATTTGCAAGGCAGCAAAGGAGGTGAAGCAGAAAATGTGAAAGCTTGTCGCATGCTTGGGGCCAGGCAGTGAGGCCACAGAGGAGGCGGGAAGCGGTAGGGGAATAGAAGAAAAGGCAGGAAGAAAATTGGGAGAAGTTAGAGGACTTCAGCACATGGGAAAACTGTTGGGGGCAGTTTGAGCTGTCCTTGGAGAGTGGCCATTGAAACCAGCTTGTGGGACTTTTCCTCTCTGCAGGTAGACGTGGAGGCCGAGGGCTCCGGCCTGGGCTGGGGCTCGGACGGCGGCTCTGGCTCCGGTGACCTGGACCTTGGCAAGGACCCGCTCAGGGTGAGTGTGGAGGGTGAAAGGGCCTGGTGTCTGGGGGCAAGGATGGCATCTAGGGCCGGATCCCTGATGACATTTGCCACCATGGATACATGTTGACGTTGCAGGGAGTCCTTGAGTCCTTGAGACTACTCTTGTATGTGTTGGGCGTTTTCTCCTTTGATTGGTTTGTTGTGAGTCTGAGCCTAAATTGATATCCATTTCGCCCCTTTCCTCCTTTCCCTGGAGCCTGTCACAGTGGGCTGTGTGCTCACGCCCAGTGCTCAGGACCACCGCCTCTCCAGCTAGGCTCCATCCCCGTGCTCCCTGGGCGCTTCACAGGAAGCTTCCAGATCCTTCTTGAAACCCTCCCGCCCTGCTGCAGCCCACTCCTGTGTGTCCAGCTTTCAGCTTCCTTGGCCCTCTGGCCCTGGGCTGGGCGCCCACTCTCCAGCGGCAGTGGTGCCCCCATCCCCAGACCCTCCAGCCTCATCTCCAGCTCCTCCTCCGAGTCTTGTGCCCATCCGCACCTAGAAGGCTCCCGTGACTGCCCCTCCGCTCAGTCCTCATGGGAAGGTGGAAGGGTCTGGACTGACTGGGTGAGAGGAGAGGGAGCTGAAGGAGCTTGCAAGCTGGTGGAAACAGTCACTCCAGCCAGAGACTAGTTTGTTTCAGGAATTTTTTAACAAAAAGTGTTTAAACCACGGGTCATGTTTGACTGAACTCTCCGTCAGAAAATGAAATTAGCCAGAGTACCTCTGAGAATCCCCACTGGGTTTTTATTGTATGCCCACATCTAGGGAGAAAACATGATAGAATGGACTCAGAAAGACTTGGATTCAAATCCCTGCCATGTATGTGAGCCCTCAGAAAGCGCTCAAGCACTCTGAGCCTCGGTTCTCCATCTGCTGAGTGGGAGCAGCAGTTTCTATTTGTAGGGCTGTAAAGAAAGGCGACAGTGAGCCGAACAGATGAGCTCCATATAACTTACCTCCTCTCTGCTGTTGCCTAACAGAATGTCTGCTTTTTAGGGTCCTCCCGGCCCCCCAGGCCCACCTGGAGTGCCTGGAATCCCAGGCAAACCAGGAACGGATGTGTTCACGGGGCCTCCTGGATCTCCTGGAAAGGATGGAGCTACCGGCAAACCTGGGCCCCCGGTGAGCTGCCTGAACCTCTGAGGTCGGGGGTGGGGGGGGGGCCCTCTCGGGGGCTTTGGTGCTCCCTCTAGCTAGAGAGGCCACTATATGCACTTCCGAGCCAGTACCCAAGCTCACCCTGGGGGGAGAACAGCTAGATGTCCGTCTCCCACAGGCCTCCTCTGAGTCGCTGCTGAGGCTGATAAGCAGCTAAGAAAAACATCGCACAGTTTGGCCACTTTATCTTGGTCAGTAAAAGAAGCGCAGACTCGTGTAGGATCTTGGACGTGCAGAGCTCCTGCTGAGCCTAGAGTCCCTCGGGGGCCACCCAATCCAACCCCTCCCCCGCCCCCCACATGGAGAAGGTGCCACCCAGAGAGCAGTGGACCCTCTCCCACAGGGGCATGGCCGGCTCCAGCACTCCAGTGTGGACCTGGCACCACGCCCTGGACCCACCACCTCACCGCGGGTCCTTTCCAGCCCCGACCTCCTTTTCCAGGAAGGGCTTGTGTGGTTATTATCAGAAGTATCTGGGCTGATTGTTCTGGATGTTCCCCAGGGCCCCGAGGGACAACCTGGACCTGATGGAGCCTCTGGCCTTCCTGGGATGAAAGGGGAGAAGGTACGAGCGAGGTGGGAGCGTCCGGCACACGGGAGCCCCCCACCCACGCTGCCTCTCTGTCCCCTAAGCCTGACCTTGCCTCCTATGAGAATGGCCCTCTCTAATCCCCTCTCACCTGGGGGTTCCCATCAGAGGGCTCTTAGGCCCACACCTGAACTCAGCATGTTCCCTGCTCCCAGCCTCAGGCATAGGGGCCGCCATCCCCCCAGTCACCCGAACTCAGCATCAGTCTTCCTCACCCCTCCCCAGCTCCCTTTCCTGCCGTGATCCAGGTCATGCTGAAACCCGCTCGGCTGACGTCCACGTGGCTCACCCTCCCCTGCATGGCAGCCTCAGGATCCTCACTGGTGCCCCATTCTCTCCACCCCTTGTCCAGCCTCCTGGCCTATATGGTCAGTCACTGCCCCTTTCCACCGAGGAACTGTCACAGGCACCCACTGCTGCAGGACAGCACCCTAACTACGTGGCACCTGTAGGGCCCTTCTGGAACTGCCTTCTAGCGCTTTCTCCCAGCACCCCCTCTCGTAGCCTCTGGGCCTGCAGCCAGTCCTGCTGGAACACCCTGGCCATGCTGTTCCTCGGCAGCTTCCTGTCCTGTGCACCTGCTGTTCTCTCTGTCTCTTCACTGTTCTCATTCTCCAAGGCCCAATTCAGACACATGCTCTGGGAAGTGCGCCCCAAATCTCTGACAGAAAGCACCCCCCCTTCATAGAAAACACCCCGCTTTGTCAACTTTTTATTGCACAGTTTGCATTGTGCCAGGCCACTCTGTTGACGGGCTAATGATTGATGAAGGGATGAAACCTCCTCTGGCTACCATAGTGTCTCCATTCCCATGTCTCCCACGTTCCTCCCTGGCTACATCTATCTGTAAGCCTGTCCTGTCTCTTGTTTGCAAACCCCTTACTGGTGCTGTGGGGTGGGGTCCCTGCCCCTCCAAGCATTCCCAGACTGGTGGATGAGATCAGTCACATCCAAAAGGAATGAACCCTAAAGATGAGGTGACTCCACCTAATGAGGCATATGTGAGTTTGACGGAGGTCCAGAGGCAAGAGGGGTCCTCCCATCTGCGATAGGAAGCGGGGGGCCTTCTGTGTACCTCACCCGGAAAAAGTCTTGGAAAATACAGACTCCCTAGACATCAGCATCCTCCCTGAATTGAATTTCCAGTTTCTGTTAGCCCAAAAATATGTTTATTCTAGTTGAAACGGTAACTCAATTTTCATGGAAAGCTCATTTCTCAGAAAAAGCAGTAGTCAAGCTTTATAGAACTCATCTTACATGAACCAACTATTTCATAAGAAATTAAATTGTGCAGGAAACATCACAGACCTACGCTCATCTTCCCTGTTCTTTTTAGCAACTTCCCCCCACCCACCCCCACACACCCCTCCCACGCTCGTCTGGCACCTAAAAATACCCGTGCTCACATCTGCACACAGACACAGCGCAGGCGCCCTCGGCAGCTGCCAGATTCAGCTGGCTTCCCCGGGATAATTGTTGGTGAGAAATCACTTTGCTCCCCCTGAAATGTGCTGTGAGTCCTAATGCGTTGCACTGTGTGTATATGAAGCTTTCTGGTCTTTATAACAAGATTCTAGAAAAATCTGGAAGATTGCATCTGGAGAGCTGGAGGCCGTGTGATATTTACTTAGGAAACAGTGGTAAACCAGGGAGCATGGTCTGGATGTAAAATAACAAAAACATGCTGAGGATGAATAGTCCCAGGGGTACAGCCCAACATCGCTGATCCTGACCCCCCCACCCCCAATATTTGTTCTCCAGATGAACATTTCTGGTGAGGAGAGATTTGCTTCCTGCCCTGGAGGTGCCTTGCCAGGTTCCATGGGTGCTAGTAGAAAAGGCTTTCCCAGAGGCCCAGAAACCATTCTCGCCTCACTCACAGGCATGTAGAGCAATCCAGACAGCTGTCTAAAGTAGACATCGCCCCTGCAAAGAATAAGGTCCAGTTTACTTGGTTGGAAAAAAGCATTGTACGTGATCACCATCAAATGTGGAATTGTCATCAAAATCATCAAATTGGGAATTTGATTATTCTACTTTGAGTTCTATGATAGAAATACTGCTTAATTGATTACCCCCCAAATTAAAGTGAGCAACTAAGGCTGAGAACTCTAGTTCATGAAGGAATAAGCAAGGAGTAACCTGATTTCCCAGCCACAGAATGCTTCTGGAAAGGATGTTGAAGAGTTTGCCAGGGATGGACCTCCAAAAAACATTTTTCCGTCCTTTGCGCTTCAGAACTCTCCATCTGGACAAGACTTTCGTGGGTGCCTGGAACTAGCAGCAGTACCTGTTTATCCCTTCTTTCACAGTCTTAATCATGCATGTTATTCTTTAGTCTCAAAAGTCTCTCTCTCACCCCTCCCGGGAGCTCTGGCTCTGGCCCCACAGGGTCCACACTGACAATACCTGCACAACTTCTTAGCCTGCTGACTTCCCATGCGGGTCTCTGCAGAGCCTGGGCATGGTGCCTCCTGGCTGTTAGGCGGAGGAACTGCAGCCTGACACTTTTTAAATTAGTGTTTAGTTATGAAAGTGACATATGAATACATGTTTCATGGCTTCATGTCTCTAGGTTTTGTCTAATTAGTGAAGTGTATTCCCTTTGTATTTTCAGAGAGGGCCTGGGCAGGGCCCATCGTCTGAGACCTTGAATCTTTAAAAATGTCCTTGAGATACTCTCATTTGCCAAATATGGACTCCTAGGGTCAAAGTGACTTGCCCTTGGTCGTTTGAGGGTGCTTAGTCTTGGTGTTTTGAAATCCCCCTCTATCACAGCTAGATGTGGATTCTTTGTAGAGTCCCCCTGCTCAGGGCTCCAAGGGCCTTGGGTGGGGTGGGGGGAGAGGAGAGTCTTTTACTCTAGCAACTCAGATTTGTCAGAAAATTTCTGCTGTTACTTCTTTGATGGCTGCTTTCTTCCTGTTCTCCTTATTCTCCCCCTCCCCACTCCACAGATGGCGGGCTTCTGGTTCTCTCCCCTGTATTTGTAACTTTTCTGTCATTCTTCCTAGGTCTTTCTCTCTGTGTTGCTTTCCAGAGTTCTGTGCCTGGTTCTTCCTGTAATGCTCTCTTCGGTGCATCCTTTTGGACACCGTCACAGGTCTATGGAAGCAAAGACCTCTTCCTTTCAGCAGTTGGATGTTTTCATTTCTAAGCTCTCTAGTTCATTCCTTTCTAGACTGCTGTTCTTATTTCCCAATAGTGTGTCGTTGCTTCGTGACGACAGCATCCTCCCTTTCTTCCTGAGAACGTGCATTGCACACTCAAAGTCCCTGTTGGATCCTGTTCTTAATTTGCTTCCTTGGGCAGACATCCCACTTACAGCCTCTCTCTGCTAACATTTCCTCAGCTACATCTGGTGGTTCTTACTTGGGCCTTTGTTTTTGATATTAGAATCCCTCTTAGTCAAGACTGGTAGGCAGGGGCAGTGCTACTTGCGAGACGAGCAGACCCCAGGAAGGGAGTGGGAGGAACAGCAGCACATGCCATTAAGTGGGGCACCCTGACCCTTGGGCTTAGGCGTTTGGGATACCCCGGACCTCCCGGGGCTTCCTAGCCACCTGGAGCCCAACCCTATCTCTTTGCTCCCATAGACAGCTCTAGCTTTTCTTGCCATAGGAGAGGGGCACAGGAAGTGAACCCCTCACTTGAGATGGCAGGACTCAATGGCTACCTCCCAAATGTCAGTCTTTCTCCTGTCAGACCCCTTCATCCCCACTCCTGTCCTCCACCACCACTTTGCCACTATTTTTCTCCTGCTGTTGAAACCTCAGACCTCAGCTTCCCATGTTTTCCCTTTGTTCCTCCTCACTGTTTGAGTCTCAAGGTGACTCACCATCTTTTTGAGCTCGACTCTCTTGGAACTCTCTACTGTGTCATTTCCATGAATTTGATTTAGGAGGGAGATTCCAGCCCAGGGAGAGCAGGACTAGGGGATAGACACAGTCTGAGATGGAAAGTACATCATAGGCTCACAAGCAGGTGGTAGGGTCTTCTGGGTAGCCAGGTGGTTTCTGGATCCTTTCCTTGCAGGTGCTTTTGAGGTTCCCCCAGGGGGTGCTCAGCTGAGGCCTCAACACTGTCCCTGATGAGGGCGGTCTCCTGTGCTGACCCTCCTGACCACCAACCCCCATTGCTCCTGCCCTCTCTCAGCGCTTACAGCTGACACCTTTTTGTGGGATCCACATCCAACCCTGTCCCTAGAAACAAGCTCCTGTAATGCAGTGCCCGGACTCGCCTTCTGTCTCCAGGGGCCACTCTGGCCAGTTTTTAGTCTTAGAGTTTTCCAGAAGAGAATCCATCATCATTCCACAAACTTCTAGAAGTCTGTGGAATACACATCAAGTAGTTGAGGCCCTTAAGTTTGAATGGGGAAGCAACCCTGCGCTTCCGTTAGGGAAGGGCCGGGAAACTGCTTCAGTCCTCTGACTCTGTCTCCTCAGCCACTTCCTAGTTACTCTCCAGCTTCCTTTACTCTAGAGATAGGCGATGAGCTAGTAGTCGAAAAATGGGTTTCCTAAGCTTTTAGCATGACTTTCTAGAAAACTGACAATGACTATAATGTACTCAACTTTGAGACATCAGCAAAATAGAGACAGGAAGTGTTCCATTTTAACGTAGAGCATCTATAATTCTGCATTTTCTTCTCATCATACCTAATGATACACACACACACACATATATAATGCAATATATATGTATGTATATATATATACATATACACACACATACATACATATACTAATTGAATTGTTTTCTCCTCCAGGGAGCAAGAGGCCCTAATGGCTCAGTTGGTGAAAAGGTAAAAAAAACATAGAGGGAAAAGCTTTTTGCTCCTTCCTTTCCTGTCTCTGGGTTTCCTATAATTGCACTATTGGACCAGAGTTTTGAAGGTGGTGTGGAGCAGAGGAACTTCTCGGGAGCCAAACAGCTGGAGCTGGTGGGATCCAGGGGCCCGTTTGCTTTTCTGCATCAGCTCACCTCCCAGTGAATGGCGACTGGCGGGACAGCTGTATCTGCAGTTACCAGTGCCCAGCTGAGAATTCCTCAACCTAATTAAGTTCAAAGAGCTATTTTCTGACCCAAGCGTGTATGCTGCTCCATGAGTCGGCCCAGGGGGTCATCAAGCTGTCTTTTTCCTTACAGGGTGACCCAGGCATCAGAGGCAAACCAGGACTCCCGGGGAAACATGGACAAGTTGGCACTCCTGGGGTCATGGGTCCCCCAGGCCCTCCTGGACCCCCAGGCCCAGGATGTACAGTGGGACTTGAATTTGAGGTACATTTCCCCTTTCTCAGGTTATGAAACCATTTGACCTAGGGGCTGCTGGGAAGACCAACCAGCGGAACACTGGTCTGTGGGCAGAGGCTGTGTGGCGCCCCCCTGGGCCCCAGCTGCCAACACCCCGCCTGGCACCAGTAGGTGCTCAGGAACTGGATCTGAAATTGCCATTCTTCTTCCTTCCCAAGGATATTGAAGGCTCTGGAAGCAGCACACTCTTGAACCAACCCAGAATCTGTGGACCAACAGCTTCAAGTGTAGGTTGAATTTTGAAACCGTTGTCTGGAGGGTTGTCCCGCTGTGACCTGCAGTGAGAAGGTGGAGGGTCTGGCTCTGCCACTTGCCACAAGCCTCCCCTCACCCCTCCAGCCGCCAGCTGCGCCCTGGGGCACTGGGTGCTCTCTATGACTTGTTTCCTTAAGGAGCGAGTGGCCCGGGGTTTTGCACACAATGTCACTTGGGAAAATGTGTCCTTTTCTTTCTTTGTGCAGCCCTTTACCACCCCAGCTCTGCCTCCCTGCTCCCACTCAGAGCTCACAGTCCACCCCAATTCAGGACCTTTGTCTCTGAGGGCCAGGTGTCCCCTCCTGCTGCACCTGGCTCCTGGGGGTTGTTATCCACATGTTATAAGACCTGCTCTGTGAGGACGAATCCCCCAGGCTCTCGTTATCTTTGTGAAGTGGAACAGAGCTGAGCTCCAACCCTCGCTGGTGGGGCGGGGAAGCTACACAACTCCCTCCATGAGGGAAGGAAGACTCTGCCTTGCCCAGGTTGGGTGTGGAGGAGCTCCGAGACTCAAGAGGACACGTCCCCATCCTGGGAGAGGGCCTCTGGTCCTGAAACCTGTGTGGGGTGTTGCTTCTTCTGACTCTGGAGGGGGAGTTTGCCCATCATCCTTGGCTTCATTACCTCAGGCAAAATCAATGCAGCGGCTTAGTGAAAGATGGCAAGACTGAGGGTGAGCAAATGGAAGAGAAGACAACTAAAGAATTTTTGTTTATTTTGTCAGGGTCTCAAAGGAGAAAAAGGAGACCAGGGACCCAAGGTGAGGACACAGACCTGAGGTGGGGGCCCTGGGCTTTCCAGCCTCCTCCTAGGGATGTTATTCAGGTGCAGTGAATTCTTTTCTCTCTCTGTGGTACTCAGGGTGACAGAGGGATGGATGGAGCCAGCACTGTGGGGCCCCCTGGACCCCCGGGGCCACCAGGACGCATCGAGTTCTTGCCTAATGTGAGTGTCATCCAGGTCAGAGCTGAGCTGAACATTTTCTGCTTTTGCCAAAGGCAGGAGAAGGGTGTCCACAATGGCAGGGCCTTCAGGACAGTTGGGGGAGGGCGGGAGACCTAGCTAGCCTCTGACACTGGAGATTCCACCTCCCTGCACCCCACGCCAACCCTCAGTCCCTACCCCAGCACCACTATATTCTCTTATAAAGTGCTCCCAAGACAGTCTTTTCTGGGTGGTAACATTTGGGAACAACTCGAAACAGCAGCCTAAGAACATGAGAGGGTTGAGGTCTTGGGGGAAGCTCCAAGTGAGCAGCACCAGTCTCCCCCAGCCAGATTCTGAACAGTCCACAGGTTACTAAGTAGGCCCAATGCCACCTTTATTACCAACAGAGGGCAAGTTAAGGACGAGAGGGAGAGCACAGTGTTCCTGGTAACAGCCCCAGGCCAAGCCAGTTTGGGTGTGCTCCCTGGAAGCAGGCTGTGCCTGGAGAAAGAAGGGAGTGCTGTGCTGAACTTGAGTCATTTATGTCTCCCCAAACTGCCAATCAGGTAGGCCACTCAACCTTTCCAGACAGGAGAGAGGCTCAAGGGTTACACTCGATGAGCTCCTTGTGCCAAAGGAAACATCTGCAGTGAGGAAGGCGCTTCCTTCTCTGGCCCTCACCATGAGGGAGGCGGCCACGTGGGACTTTGACATTACCATTAAAATCCCTGCAAGTTGGGGAGCTTCTTCAGCTCCATACAGAACTTTTAAACTTGACTTGGTGCAGCAATGACCTGCAACATGTTTTCTTGTGCACATGCTCCTTTTCCCCAGCACTCCAACAGTGCAGGCTCAGTCAGTACGAGTGAAATGTCACCTGTCATTTAATTCTCTATTCATAAATACCCCTGGGCATGCACACTGCATCAGGTTCCATGCTGGGCCTTGTGCACATGAAGATAAATAAGACACAGTTCTCACCTTCATGGGCTCCCAGTGCACTCAGGAGAATAGCTATCCCAGACAATGAGAGAGCCAGGGAGAGAATTTTTAGGGAGATGAAAAAAATCAAGGAAGACTTTCTGGAGGAGGTGTCTTTGAACAAGGACTTGAAAGCTGAGAAGGATTTACCAGGTAGGCATAGAGGACAGGACTTCCAGAGATCAGCTATGAGAACACTCTAATCCAAAGCACCGAACAGAAAAATAAGCATGTGTCCAAGGCAAGGGCAGTGACGGGCATGAACACAGGTGGAGAATGATGGACATTTTGGAGAGATGATTGGAATGTGTGCTGGGACTAGATACCAGTTCATTTAATATTAGGGCATCACATTTATGGAAAATCGTGGTCCTTCTGAAAGAAATTACACTGTAGACAACTGAAAGATAAAATGTCCTAAATAACAGGTGAAAAGGAAAACTAAAGTAAACCAAAATGTCTGATTAAAAAGCATCAATTATGAGTAAGGATATAAGATAGTAGGTAATAATACACTCTGGTGTATGGCCACTTTGGACAGTTCTTTGCGATCTGTTAAAACAGAAAACATCCATCCTCACATTCCATAGGAAAAGATCTCCACATGAGGTGGCTGAGAGAAAACAGCACGTTGAAGAATCATGTATATAACCTGGTGTTGTTTTTGTACGATAAGCACATCCACATACAGCAACACCATGAGCTGTCATGGGTACACACGCGCACATGTATGTCTGTATAGTTAAATTTGTCAACAAGAGAGGGCATTCATGTAGGATTATTGGAAAGAGGAAGCAGGTAGCTTGGGGCTGTTTTCACAGAGGTGGGAGGGAGAGATGTTCCAGCAGCCTGTCTGGGATGCCATCAGTGCCTGACATGCTGGTGACTCAGGTTACTGCCTTGCTGCTGGGAGACAGGCAGAACTCGTGTCTGCTGTCTCATTGTCTGACTTTTCTCTTTTCAGTCCTTGCTCAACATCACCCAGGGATTCATGAATCTCTCGGACGTTCCTGAACTCGTGGGGCCTCAGGTGTGTATCCACACTGCCTTAGAGTCAGGTTCCACCCTGATGCCTCTGCTGCTGTATTGAGGCCAGAACTAGATTATATCAAAGTATGATGGAAAGAGAACTTTGCTTTCCTGAAAAATTGTTGTCACGTTAACTTGATCATGTGGGGAGTTTTAGCCAACATCGTGGAAGCTTCCAGTTCTGGGCATGAGAAATAGTGTGATGGAAATCAGAGAATCCTAACAAACCAGTTGACATCTGTGCAAAGCTTTTGGCCTCCTTTTACTGATGTGCTCTCATTGCACAGCGGGCTAACGTTGTGCTAACGTGAAAGTGGCACAGGAGATGGGACCGGGGCTTGCTTTGGTCTTTGTAACCCCTTTGTAGAGACTAGGCAAGAAGCCACATTGTTCTGCAAGGCCACAGTCGCTCGCTGGCATCTCTTTATGAGGAAGGAAGCTTCCTCCTGCAGCCAATGGTGCAAACCCCTATTGCATCTCCCAACATCTGGAAGAGAAAGAGCTCAGTCCTAGGACCTTTGGGGTCCCAGTCTCATCTCCACCCTGAGCCCCTGATGCTTTTCTCTGATGACACCTCAACAGCCTTTGGGGCAGCTTTTGAGACCACTTTGCTCATTGGTGTTCTGCATAAGCTGACGTGAAATTGAAGCTGTCCCTCATAGCTGTATAACTCAGTGTCTGCTTGGGCCACCCATCCCCACAGTCCCCAGCAAGGTTGATCTGAACACCTCCCTGCCCCTGTCCCCCATCCCCAGGACATCCTAGGGAAAGCCCGCTGCCCTCCCCAGGATTCTGTGAGTACGTAGGAGGTTTCCCTGCCCAGTGACCTGGTTAACAGTGGTCTTGCTCCCTCTGCACCACACCCACTGGGATTCTGCTGATCATGCCCAATAAACCTTAAAGCAAATCAGAAAAAAACCCTGTTCACAGAGAATCGTGGTTCTCCCCAAACGACTGGCATTTAGAGTGCTAGCAAAGCACAGACAGCCTGCGATCCAAGATTCAGCTTCCCTGTCCTAAGAGTTCTGTGCTGTCTGGCTGTTTGTCTGCGCCCCACTTCTTCTCTCCAGCCCTTCCTAATCTCTGTCCTCCTTGGGCAGATCAAGCGTCCTCTTCATCGCTTCATCAGGAGCCAGCCTGATGGAGCATCAGGCTTTTCCTCCTCAGAGGTAGTTTACTCCCTGAGGGAACCCGGCCTCTCTGGGTTTATCTACAGTCTGTCGGGAAGCTTGTCATCCTGTCATCGCTAAACTCCTGTATTCTGCTAAACTCCTCTGCCTCTGATAGGCATGTGGGTATCTGAGCTGACAAGAGAAAGAGTCCTAGAGTGAACTACAAGCTCTGTGTTCCAGGCTCTTGCATTCTCACTCCCACTGGGGAAAAGAAGTTGAGTTTCCCCTACATGCCCCACTTCCACCCCCAATTAACCCAGCTTCCCCTCTGGGCCCACTTCTCAAGGTTTATTTATTCTCGTCCCAAGTGCTGCGTTCTTGTGTCTAGATGTTTCAGCCCCTACAAGATTTCCCTGAGGAGGCTGCTACTTAAAGTGAGGGGGCTTTGGCTGGGAGGGGTGGAGGTGGGGGAGTTGGGCAGTGCAATTCCTGGCTCGTCACTAACTGTGTGTCTCTACAAGGCTCCTTCCCTTGGGGGCTCCCATTCTCTTCTACAAAGTGGACCTTGAGCCCTTGAGAACATGTGTAGGCCTTTGGGAGGGCTCCTGGGGCATGGTGTTCCTTCTGGCCCTGAAAATAACAATTCCAACCTGACTGCTTTGTCTTTGGTGTGTCACAGGGCCCGAACGGCGTCCCTGGGCTGCCAGGATTTCCAGTAAGTATCACAGTAGCTGTCTTCCCTCTGTGCCCTGCAGCTGTGCCTCTTCTCCCTGGGATGCCCTGCTTCTCACCTGCAAACCAAACCCTGGCGCCATCTTGTTCATGTAACCATCCTTCATTGCCTCCACCTAGAGTGACTGCCCCCTCCTTTATTGTCACCTCTGTGGTGGTTCAAGTTGTGGTGACACCTTGAATAACACTTGTTCATGCTGTTGTCTTTGTTTCCTGGACCTGCACATTGTAGAGGGTTGGGTATTACTCATCGTGCTACTCCAGAGACCACAGATGTTGGAGTTGGTGGTTGAATGAATGCAAGTGGTTAAGTCAGACATTTCTAGTAGATAGATTCCAAGTAGATAAAGATCCTGAAGAGATCAGATGAGGGGAAGAAATCTGTCGTAGGCTGATAGAAATCCAGTGCTGATATTCTGTGAGCCCCATTATTGGGGCTTCCCCATGGGAGATGAAAGTGCATTTCTGTGTAGAAGGTGATTGATTTTATGTAAATGTTCGAGACTGTGCTGAAGCCCAAGGCCTAGTTCTCAGTGAAAGCTGTATGACTTCTCCAAGACACTGCACCTCAGAAGTGCATGATGCCAAAGGGGTAAACTGCCTGCCTCCAGGATAAGCGAAGGACATTTATCAAAAATACAATAGAAATGTATTCTTGCTGATAGAATTAGGGGGCTTTTGCCATCTATTTCTTTATCGTTTTCTGAACTTCTTACATTTTCTAAAGAGTGCATCCTATGATGATACTAAAAATGCATGTAAGCTAGACAGTAAAAAGCTGAGGAGGAATAAAAAAAACCACAATGTGTTAAAGTGCAGCACTATGAAGCGCACTGAAGCCACTGCAGCACAAGTTCAATTCCCAGCCAGGGAGTGAACCACATGGCGTGGCACACCATTTCTGACCCGCCCGCTGCTCCCCTCAGCAGTATATTTCATAAGTCTGCCTGTCCTGCTCCCCACTCTGTCTCTGGTGAATCCTCTCTCCCCCTGTACCATGGCTAGCTCATGTATGCAAAATAAATAGATCTTTAAAAAACAAAACAGTTGGCAGGAGTGTGAGCCAGAGGGACTCTTGGTCAGGAAGAACGGAGGCCAGACGTTTGAGCTCAGCCCCAGCTGGCTGCTGCACACCCAGAGCATGTTTCCAACACTTTTCCCTCTAAATAACTGGTTTTGTGTTCTCAGGGAGCCCCTGGCTCCTTGGGAGACCTCCTAAGCCACTGCAGTGAGTAAGGAAGGAGGAAAATAGACAGGAGCCTGGCCAGTGACCTCCAGTAAGGACACCCCACTTGGCATAATTTATTTATTAAGCCTTCCTAAGACTGTATTTGAAAAAAAGCAATGAAAAGAGTTTCATTGTTAAAAACTAATTAATATTTGAAAGCCTCTGTTCTCATGGGTAAGTCACCCTTTAACCCAGAAGACAGGACCGGAACTTGTGAAAAGCTAAGTAACAATGAAATGTTGAAATGCCTTAGGGGGCAGAAATCTGTGTGAGTCATTGTCACAGATAAAAAGTGTGTTGGAGTTGAGAAGAGGTCACCTCTGACTGAGAGGGCAGGATTTGGCCCTGCACAGGATGGAAGGGTATTTCTGCAGGGAGGAACAGCATGCGAAGTGCAGAGGCAGCTGAATGTAGTAAAGAAGTGAAGGGGAAAGCCTCACCCCCACAGAGTGGGGGGCAGAAGGTGAGGTCCTGGCGTTTGGAAGTTAGGCTTAGATAGTTGCATCACACCCCAGAGATGGTGGGGAGCCAGAGGAAGTGTGGGAGGAGAGGAAGGTAATGATGGGAGAAGGCAAGCTGCAGGATGGCCTGGAGGCCCGTGGAGTGAGCAGAGACTGCTAGATCAGGCTGTGGCGATGGTGCCTCTTAGGGACAAGCACAATTCAAACAGGCCCCGGGCCTCCAGCTTCCTAACACTCTGTCCTCTCTTCACCAGACCACAATCTCTTTACCACTTAAAATAAGAAAATCTCGGCCCTCCCTGATGGCACAACGGGTTGGGATGCAGCACTGCAAGCTGGCTGCAGCCGCTTCAGTGTGAGTTTGATCCCTGGTCCTGGAGGTGACCACATGGCGTGGCAGACCTCTGCTGACCCGCCCGCTGCTCCCCTCAGCAGTGTACTTCCTCGATCTGCCTGTTCTGCACCCCCACTCTGTCTCTGGTGAAGCCTCTCACCACCCCTGCACCTTTGGCTTGTACCCTAGTTCTGTATGCATAAAAATGAATAAGTAAGTCTTAAAAATTAGAAAATCTCATGGCTAATTATGACTCCCTACTGCTCGGGGACTAGCAGTCTTCATTCTACTTTTTGGAAAACAAAATAAAACTTGCACTTGGTTAAAGTTTTTTAATCTTGACAAACAAAGTAAGACTCTGATGATTCCTTCCAGGGCCCCAGAGGACCAAAAGGTGACACTGGTGTGCCAGGCTTTCCAGGACTGAAAGGAGAACAGGTAAGAGGAACCCTAGGTGTCTGGGTGAGGTTGTATTCAGAATTTGGAATATTTCTATTTGAAACTGGTTAAAAGTAGCTGTTACCTTTTTTTAAAGTATGAGCTCTAATTCATATACCATAAAATCGATCTCTTTAAAGTCCGATGATTACAGTATAGCAAAGCTATGCAACCCTCTAATTCTAGAACATTTTCATAGTGCCAAAAAGAAACTCCATATCTACCAGCAGTCGTAGTTGTTAACTTATATAATCACCTCAAGATTCGAAGGTGGGTTGTGAATGGAAGTGGTGATTTTCATCAGTTTGTAAAAAGCACTTAATCCAGCCAACTCTGAATGCTGTTTTCACATGTGCTGTGCTTGGGCTGCCTACCTGCCGGGCACCTGGGATTCGAGGGTGTTCTGTGAGAGCTAGCTCCAGTACCTGGCACTGGGCCTGATACTCAAAACCTTGGCTATATAAAAAATGCATGCAATGAATGCTGATATTTGGAAATGATCAATCAGGGCTTCCTGCAGTTGGATGGTAGTCTCGGGCCAAGATCTTTGGAATAGATATTTAGCATGCAAGACCCTTGCTGAGAACTGCCCAGAACTGGACTGACAGTTGCTCCTTAGCATTAACTTCCCAGTTGGTTTTTATAGATAATGAGAGAGTGACATCCATAAAGAGATGGCAGTGATTCTGAATTGGGTTCATGTTTTCATCCAGCCAATTATGTGCTCATCATATTTTATCCAGTAAGCCTCTAAGGACAGCCAGCTTCCTCTCCTAAGCATTGGGTATATAGAAATAAAATATAAAATATGCAAGGATCCAGCAGAGAGCATGGACCCTGTTGTAAAGCAGGTCTGTTAAAGCCATGGCGTGCTCTGCCTCCCCTCCCCCATTCCTCCTTTCTCCCCCCCACCCCCAGCCTGCACAGGGCCTTGTCAGGGGGGTGGATGTGTCCATAAGGGGAGACAATGACAGGCTTCTCTTCATCTTCTCCCCGCCCACCCCCACCCCGCCATTCCACACTGGCCTCTAGGAGAACAGGGGCTCCAGTGTCTATTGGGCCATAATTTGGGGTGGGGGAAGGATCTGTGAACTGGGCAAAGGGGTCCAAGTTTGACTGTACATGGGGTGATGTCTTGGGAAGCTTCCTGCTGCTGCAGGCTGCATACAGGATGGGCCCACGGCAGCGCCAGCTTGGCAGGAGGCCAGTCCAGCAAGGGCGGCTCTTACTTTCAACACCGTCCCCTGTGGGGCGAGGTTGGATGGAATGAGAGGGGCCTACACGCCCTTCCTGCCTCTGCTCCCCCAGCACCCTGAGTGCCCAAATGAGTGGCTGGGCAGCTCTGTTCCAGCCGATAGAGCTAATGTACTTCCTCTCGCTCTGCCTCTAATGCTTTTATGCTTGCTTCTTCTTGCTGCTGGCGTGCTCAGGAGCTCCTTTCCTCACCAGCAAGTGGTAAGATGCAAATACCAGGTGTGGACTTAGGGGGATGGAGAGGAGAGGCTGCTCTGCTTGCTTCGGCACCCCTTCCCTGGCTGCCTCTGACCTGTTGCTTCAGTGTTTTCAGCCCGGCCCACAAGTGCCAGTGTTGAAGTCTGGGGCCCAAACACCAGAGTGATCCAGAAGGTTCCTCCACCTGGCCTTTTCTTTAGACATATGTCTTCCTGGAAGCCTCCTAGGATAGTAAATGTCTCTGTTAAGGACAGTATTCAAGGAAGGATGCTGTGTCCCCACCACCAGTTTTCCCACCTGTTTCCCAACATTGAGATAGCACTGCCTGACCAATTCAGTGACAATCCCTGTGAGCCTGGAGTATGGAGGCAGAGTCCCCCGTGGGGCAACAGGGCCCCTGTGTCGAGAAGAGCCTAGAGCATTCATATTGGCGTCTTTCCCAATTTCAGGTGTTTTGACACAAATAAGGTTTCTTGGTGGGAACAGATGTCAAGTTATTAGAAAAGCAAGCACCCAAATATATTAGGTGCCAAGATGCCTAGAGGGGTCATATAATAAGAGGTGGCAGGGGGCTTGTTGGGGGCTGGTTCCTGAAGGACTGAGAGTGGATGTCAACTAGTCAATGGGAAGCCCTGGAGGGACATACAAGACCCCAGCCTGTGTTTCATGCAGTGACCCTGAAGGTGCAGAAGGGCTGGCCCAGAGAACCATCAGTCCCTTGGGGGTGGGGGAAGGGCTGCTGCAATACTCTTTCAAGAGGTCAAGTCAAAGGAGTGAGGGTAGAGGAGTGGGAGAAAGGCAAGTGGAGTCATGGCATCTGGACTGAAAGGCTAGTGAGCCCCTAGATAAGGCAGTGATCTGGAGGAGCCCCGACTTCATGCAGATTTCTCTGAATTGCAGGGAGAGAAGGGAGAGCCGGGCGCCATCTTGACTGGGGAAGTTCCTCTGGAAAGACTGAGGGGGATAAAGGTAATGATGTCAGCAGACCTTGAAGGCATCCACCTGTGTGTGTGACCCAGCTTTGCTTCTGCCACAGGGTTCCTCTGAGTGACGAGTTTGTGTTTCCCTGTTTTAGGGTGAACCTGGAAGGCACGGAGCCCCAGGACCAATGGTAAGCTATTGAGTGTCTCAACTGGATGTGGATGGAACTTGAAGCCTTTATCATACTTGGACTTAATTAGATTGTGAAATAGAAATTGCAAAATAAAAAAGATGTGGCAAATAGTGTGTCTGTTAAAGAACCGCTGCAACTAAAAAATAAAAAAAAATGCAATGCTTTAACAAAATAGGCTCACTCTTGTAGGTCCACTGTGTCTGGTCCACCTTGGCTTCTCCCCTCCATGCAGTGACTCGGGAACCCAGGATATTGTGTCTTGTGACTCTGCTATCTGGAAGATTTCTGTGACAGCTTCATGTTCTTGGTGAAGGGCCCCAAGGCTCCACGAGCTTTGTTCCAAGGGCCTCTGAGACCTTTGATCCTTTATGTCAGGCAGAGAAGGTGCTCTGGAGAGGGCTGAGGAGGGATTGAGGCAGACTAGGGAAGTCTTTCCAACCTCTGGTGACCGCTTCCATTCAGTGCCATGGGCTTCACCAGTAGTTAGCAGCAGTGGCCAGTAGGCTGCCACGGATGGACATGGCGTCCGTCCCCACTGCCACTCAGCATGGCACAGCTTGCCAAGCACAGAGAACAAGGAGGCACTATCTTGTAGTTTGCATAAAGGCGTGCGTGGGCTAGTCCTTTACAAGTTCACTCGAGTCTCGTTACTCAAAGTGTGGCTTTTGGGTCAGCATCATCTTGGGGGTTTGTTAGAAATGCACAAGGTGGGCCTCCCTGGTGGTGCAGGAGTTAAAGTCAGTGCTACCAAGCTAGTGCCAGCCACTGCAGCATGAGTTCAATCCCCTACCAGGGAGGTGACCCACATGGCACAGCAGACCTCTCCTGTCTCCTGATGCTCCCCTCAGCAGTGTATTTTAGTAGTTTCACCTGTTCTGCTCCCCACTCTGTCTCTGGTGAACCTTCCCTCCCCCTGCACCTCTAGCCTACACCTCAGATCTTGTATGCATACATAATAGATCTTTTTTAAAAAAAAGAAAGAAAGAAAGAAAGAAATGCAGAGTATCCCTGGACCTGCATTTCAGCCAAGTCGTAGGTGATGCTATGCCCATTGGCATTTGAGAAACTCTGCCCTAGGACACACCAAGTGACCTGTACCCTGTTCACAACTCCCTCTCTGCTTGCTTCCCCTAAGAGAAAAGTGGGCTGAGCACTTCACAGACAAAGCCTGTTTCAGCCGAGCCTTTAGTTACGGGGCACATGGCTCTTCTAAGACCTTACTGCTGTGGTCAAGAGGTTCTTAGAAATTGTGAGTTTAAGGAAATTACGTATAACAGGACCATGCCGACCTGGAACAACATGGTTGTTGGGCATTGTTTCTTAGAGTAAGAATAAAGAACTCCCAGCCAAGAGTTGAAGAACCTGCTGCATGTGTTAGCGGAGCGGGAAGAAGGGGCTTGCAGCGCTGGAGGCAGAGGCCAGCAATCCCCTGGAAAACAGCGCATGGAAGGGGTGGGTCGAGGTAGAACTTGTTCTGGGAAGAAGTAGCGCGTAGAAGGTATCCAGTGCCTGAAGCCCTCGGGGCTCCTGCGGGAGACTGGGTCAGAGCAGTGGCTGAAGAAACACTTGGACCCCAGAACCCTAACATTAGACTAGGAGCTATGGGCCTCATCTGGAGAACTGGAGTACTAGGCCAAGACCGGTGCTCAGGGGCAGGTAGAAGGGAGCAGGAGTCAAGTCTTAGCACACCTTATCAGGACAGGCTGACATGATCCCAAGGGAAGGCGCCTTGTCACAGTGGGGACGTGGGAAGTCCTAGGCAAAGAGCCACCATCTGGCCCAGCACCCGGCTAGCTGGAGCTGAGGCTGCAGCTGCTACTTTCTCACTTCTTTGCTAGCTTGACTGACAGAGTGTGGGATGCAGGGTGGCCTGCAGCAGGACGTGAGGGGAGGGGATGCGTTGGGGCTTCCAGCTGAGAGCAGAGAGGCCAGGCGACATGGAGTCAGGCAGGTGTGTTGTTCCTCCATCTCCTCCCTCTTGCCAGTGTCTCACATCGCCACACCCGCACAGGCAGGCAGCCAGCTCTTTAGGGCTCCCTGACCCAGAAGTGTTATTCTTCTCTAACCTGGTATTTTGTTTGCCTCTAGGGACCCAAAGGACCACCAGGACATAAAGGAGAATTTGGCCTCCCCGGACGACCTGTAGGTATCAGTGTTCCTGAGACGGATGTGAGGGAGGCCTGTGGGCGGTGGGGTTACTCAGGTGCTTTCTGTGGGTTTCAGGGTCGCCCTGGACTGAATGGCCTCAAGGGCACCAAAGGAGATCGAGGGATCATGATGCCGGTGAGTGCCCCAACCCCGAGGCATCCCGGGGGTACAGTTCGGAGCAACAGGCCTGTGTTAGAGGAGGGTGAGAGAGGGCCTGGACCAGTGTGTAGGGCTCTTAGCATGTTCCAGAATGTTTTTCTTCTTCCTTTACTGCGACCTCTGAAGGTCCTCTAACAGCCCCGTCCTCCAACTCCCTCTCAGGAGGGTGTGTCCCCAGGAAGCACCTACACTGAAATGCAAAGGCAGCTCTACGCCTGTTGCTGTTGCTGTTTGCACCACACCGGCTAAGCTTTGTACATCCAGAAATCCAGGAATGCGCTTGTCCTGCAGCGCTGGGGTACTGACATGCTCGTCAAGCCTGCTGCAGCTGCCCCGAAACGGTGCTTTTACTTAGGGAGACCTGCAAGCCTTGCCGGGGGTAACTGTGTCACTCCTGAGTCACAGCGGCACAGTGCTGCTCAGGCTGCAGGCCTGGCTGAGGAAACACTGAGTGACCTGGGCAGACTGACCTGGCTTCACCATGACTCTGCCAGCTCATGAGAATTTTGTGTTATTGCATCTGGGAGGTGTTCTCCCAGGCACCACTTCGCATGAAGGCCGCCCCCACCCCCAATTGTCCACATGGGATGCCCTGATAGTGAAGCGGTAGGCCCAGCATTGCCTGAGCACTGCTCTGGGGGCTGGAATTCGGATTGTAAATCTCAGTTCTGCTACTATTTGCTGTGTGACCTAGAGCAGGTCACTTTCCCTTTCTGGGCCTCATTATCTCCATATAAACCAAGACAATCTTTGCACTGTGGTCTCTCTCTCCGGTTGTTGTGAAGATGCAGTGAGGTCACGAATGTAGAAGGGCTCTGTAAAGGAAGCTTCTTTCCTCTTTCCTATTGTGCCTTAAATCCAGGGGTGTGTCCTGTAGCTCTCCTCTTCACACATAAAAACCTGAGCTGGACAACATCCTTTCCTTTCTCCCTTCAGGGCCCACCTGGCTTACCTGGCCCTCCAGGACCCCCGGGACCACCTGGAGCCGTGGTTAACATCAAAGGAGTAAGTTGGGTGACCAGGAGGCGGCCTTTTCTGGAGAGCAGGAGTGGGACCAGACTGGAGCCAGGTGTCTTGACTCTCTCTTTTTCTCACTCCCCACAGGCGGTCTTCCCAATACCAGCGCGGCCACACTGCAAAACACCAGTAAGTAGCACCCCGCCACTGCCTGAGAGCCGGAGTTGGCACAGAGAACAATTCCGAGCGGTCAGTGTGTGTCGTAGGCCGCTCTGATTGCCAGTGTCCTCGTTCATGTTCTGTCCCTTACCTGCAGATCTTATAGACAACAGCCCTTGGCAGTGAAGCGTACTGGGTCTTCTAAGAGGCTACACGCTAACGGTGTTTCTTCTAATGCATTCAAAATATCTGCCTTGGATACCATAACCACATCAGTGTCATGCTTAGAGCAGTTGAAACAGGAAGGAAATAGACACCTCAAATACAAGTGAGGAAACAAAAAAGTAGTTGCAACTGGTGCACTCTGCCTGAGGAACTTGGGGCTAAATGCATAATACGCTGTGGTTTATCATGGGCCGCCCTTCCCCGTCACCCTCGTAGCGCCCAGCCCAGAGTCCCGAGAGCCAGGGAGGGTCTCTCCAAACTGTGAGTCAGAGAAGCTCACTGCCCTGTCCCAGGCCCTGTGGCTGACTGCCCTGGTGCTGTAACTCAGGTCTCCCAGACAGCAGGGGCAGGTGCGGGGGGGTGGGGGGGTCAGAATAGCGCCCCCACTCAGCCGTCAGCAACACCATCTTCAGGTTTCACACGTATTATGAGAAATGTAGGAAGGGTGGGCTTCCCCGGGCATAGAGTGTGTCTGATTATTCTCTCATTCATTCAACAAATATGTATTGAGCACCAAGGTGAATGAGACAGGTGTGGGCTCAGCTCCAGGGAGCTTGGCAAGTCCCTCGTGGGTGCTGGAGGAAGGGGTGAGGCTTTCAAATGCCGCATTTTGGCCGCGTTTTTGCCTAGAGAGCTGTCCACGTTGAGTCACTTGAGTGTGCAGCTCAGAGCCTGGCAATGCCAGCCTGGAAGGCAGAGAACAGGGCCCAGGACCCACCTGAGTCAGGGGCCTGCTGACGCCCGATTGCCCTGAGGACCATCGCAGCCCTGTAGTGTTTATGCTGGCAGCTGCAGGGAAGCAGAGTAAGTGCCGGAGGGCCCTTCCTGAGGGCCCCGCAGCCCAGCTTCTTATCAGTCAGGGGTACAGCGCCCAGAGGCGAAGCCCACTCCTGGTCCCACCGAGCTGGGGACCCTAAAGAGTGACCCCCTTCTAGCTGACATGATTTCAGGATTTAAATGGACCAACTGGCGCTACGTTGACTAACTTGAGAGTGCTGTGCAATGCTACCACCGGGGCTGAGCTTCTAGGACCCTGGGTGGTAACCATGACCTTTGAGGTTCACGAAGTTACGTAAAAGAGGCCAAAGATGGGCTGGGGACATTTTTGGGACTTTGAAATTTCATGTTGCACAGCTGGATACCAGAGCAGCTGGGACGCCTCTCAGAATGGGCGTTTTGAAAAAGAAGTGCTTCCTCTTAGAGCCAGTTTTACACACGTACATTTACTGGCTGTGAAAGGGGAAGGTGGACTAGTAAGCACAGGGTCATAGGTGGCTCTCTTTTATTAGATGAAGAAATGCTGGAATTGGGCATGAACCAGAAAGAATATTATCTAGAACAGCTTGGGCTCCAAGCCCAATCTAATGATAATCACCCCACCCCTTATTAGTCACCACCACCATCAGTTCCTGTTCATTATGCTCAGCTTTGATTATCACAGAAGCAAATTTAATGGCTGGCCCAACCCCATGCCAGCCACCCCTCTTGCTCAGATCCTTGGCCTCTACATGAATCAATTCTAGTCCTTAAGAGAGGACACAGACTGCTCCGAGTTGTCCAGACCAACTCTGCTATGGTTTGTCATCTTAAACTTCGGGGCCTCCTTTGGCAGAGTCGTTTGGGCTGTCTACTCCAGCCCAGCTGCACGACAGCCCCCAAGTTGAAACCTGGGATGCCCAGGCACAGAGAGCTGCTGGGACACTTGGGGATTTGGGGTGGAGGGAGCCCCCGAGCCGAAGGAAAACCTGATTGCCTAACATTGTCTATCCTGCCACACGCCTCCCAGAACGGGGACAGTGGCCACCTGCGTGAGTGAATTTCCATGACGGTTGCAATGTTAACCTGGCCTCTCTCTCTCTAGGTTGGCACCGCTCATCCAGGGGATTCGGAACTCATCACCTTTCATGGTACACGCTGCCTCCTTTGCCCTGTGTTTCTCTGGGACGTCCCCAGTCGTTCATAGCCCTGCAGATGGTGACTTCCATTTGCACCAGGCTGGGTGTAGATTAGTGGCTGAGAAGAGTGGTGGGAGGGTTGACAGGGCAGCCCAGGTGAACTGTGAGGCTGGGCACCGGTCTGTGGTGTTTGCCACTGTCTGTTCTGTACCTCTTGGCTGAGCCTAATAGTTAAGCAGGAACTTCCCCACTTCTTCTTTGGAGCCTTGAATTGTTCACAAAACACCTGCTGATCCCTTCTCCTTGCTTGGTGCCATCCCATGCACCCTAGTGGAGGTGGGTCAGTCCTATGTTGTCCCTACTAGCCAGGGCTTTGGCCTTTGTTAGGTGGAACTATTTAGAAAGTAATTATGGTGCCCTTTACCTAAAAGGGGCCTGAGCACTTGGAAGACCTTGACTTCTTAGTGTCCTTTTTATTTTTCTTTCAAAGATGTATTTATTTATGCATACAAGAACTGGGATACAGGCCAGAGGTGCAGGTGTGGGCAAGAGGATTCGCCAGAGACATAGTGGGGAGCAGAACAGGCCGACTGACGAAATATACTGCCGAGGGAGCAGCGGGTTATACAGGAGAGGTCTGCCGCGCCATGTGGGTCACCTCCCTGATCAGGGATGAGGCCCATGGTGCTGTGGCTGCTGATAGCTTCAAAATGCTGTGCTTTAACCCCTTGTGCCACCAGGGAGGGCCCTTCTTAGTGTTCTTGGCCCTGCAGTATCAGCATCTGCTGGAAGCTGTTTAGAAGGGCAGGAAGCTGCAGGTTAAGTACTGGAGACATATGAGGCTGGCTAGTCCCCAAGCCTCAAAGCCTCAACCAGTAAAACCCGGCATGCTCAGGCCTGCAGGAGACGCATCAGAGAGGGGGCAGAGCTTGCCGACAGGAGCCTGCAGGAGAGCAGTCACTCTGGTCCCTGTTGGGTCGAGGGTCTGAACCTGCAGTTTAGATGGGGGAGGGTCTCCTCCTAGTGCATGTCTGGCTTTCCTTTATCACCTGCGCCGGCCAGGTGGTGGTTTCCCTGATGATACTGACCCAGGGATTTTCTGTCACTTGATGACGAAGATCCCCTGGTGAAAGGTGGAAAGAGCAGGAGATAGAGCCAGATTTGCTTCTGGCAGCCCCTGGGGGAGGCAGGAGACAGACTTTCTGCACTCCATTACCCTGGGCAGCAGGTTGCCCCCAGGCTGTGAGCCCTCACTTGGCTGCCCACATCCTGGCCCATGCAGCTCCCCAGCCTCAGTGGAGCCTCGAAGGAGAGATAGCATCTCCCCGTGGTCCCCCAAATCAGGAAGCCTGGGCCCTCCAAATCTGCGCTGTGCCCCCATCTCTGGCCTGGGGAGCACTGGCTGCTTCTCTCACATCTCCTGGAGCCAGAAATCGAAAGTTCCTGTTCTTGCCCACCCGTCAGGGTGGACAGGGGTCACTTCCCTCCCAAACACTGAGCCTACAGAAAGCCCCCTCGGTGCCTCTTTCCCACATGGACTCCGAGCATAAGGGAAACTGTATGCCAGTTCTTTGGAAACTGCCTTCTCCCAAGCCCTGCAGAGAGGGTGTCTGGAGTTGACCTATCAACGTACAGTGGTCAGCACCCCTAGCTGGTCCCCTGCAGATGCTCCCAGAGACTCTTCCCCTCTCCCTCCCTACCCTGCTGCACACAGAGAGGGGTTAGGACTAGAAGTTGGGCTTGGTGGTGAATCTCAGGTGGAACCATCCAGGAGAGGCTTGGCTGAGCCTCTCCCAGGCCCCATGCAACATCTCTGTGGCAGCTGGGTGCTCTGTCCCCGCCATTACTCCCTCCTAGCCTCCATTACTCTTCCGTCGCATCGAGGAGACCAAGCTTTTCAAGCGGGGACCCACCTCTGCCCTCCCCAACACGTAGCAAAGGGTTTGATGCTCTTGTAGGCCTTTGTTTAGTGGACTTTGCTGAAGAGGCTCAGTTTGAAACCTTTCTCAGAGAACAAAAGTAATTTTCCACTATTTTCTTTTCCATGTGTGTGTCTTCGGTGACAGGTGTTAAAGGAGAAAAAGGATCCTGGGGTCTTCCTGGCTCCAAAGGAGAAAAAGGCGACCAGGGGGCCCAGGGACCACCAGGTATTTCAGTTTCATTTGAATTTTATTCCTGAGATATTAGCTGAGCCAGGAAGTTAAGATAATTATATCACCACCCTGACTGTAAGTGCCACTGAGTTCTAGAGGGACCCAGTCGTGGACATCACATGCTCAAGATGGGATATAGTCAGGAGTGACCGGCTCTGCCGTGGTTCACGATTCATATGCAAAACAAAGCCGAAGTCAGTGCTGGGCTGACTGGTCATTGACCTTCAGGGGCCAGGAGTCACACTATCTGGATATGGGCCCCTTCCAGTTGGAAGCAATCATGGTTGCCAATGAGGAGGCTTGTTTTTAAATGCTTGAGGTTATGATTGTGAATTTTACAAATCATTACCTTTACAGGCCCTCCAGTTGACCCAGCTTACCTGAGACATTTTCTGAACAGCTTAAAGGTCAGTTTTCTCCGCTAAGCATTGTGTTTCCAAGTTCTTGGGCTTATATCAGAGACTGGCTCATCCTCCTCTTCCTGAATGTTCTCTGCTTCCAGGGAGAGAACGGAGACAGGGGAATCAAAGGAGAAAAGGGGGATCCTAACAGCGACTTCTTTGTGTCTGGGCCTCCCGGTCTGCCAGGAAGTCCAGGATTGGCTGTGAGTAGCGACCCCTTCCCATCCTTCCTCCATGAGTCCCCACTTTCCCTGAGCCCCCAGTATGATTGGGCAGTTGGAGAGCAAGGTGGGTAAGATAGAGAAGTTGGAGGGAGCACTTGGCACTGGCCAGCTCTCCGCCATCCCAGTCTACTCCTGGGGAGGTGGCCCGAGGCCCCAAGGAAAGGGAGCTGGCCAAGGCGTGTGCATTCTCTGCCCTCACTGCTTCTTCAAGTCCAAGGTAAATTTGGCTCCTGACAAGGTTATTAATGGGGAACGCATCAGATAATCGAGGTAGGATGGAAGGAGAGGGAGATATTTGTAGAGGAGCAATTTGACCTTCTGAAATTTTATCAAAGAAGCTCCTGGATAGATTTGGTCTCCTTAGGATGAGAAGTTTCTTTAGGCCTCGAAGAGGAAATTGACTTGTGCCTCCAAAATAACAGTGACCTGGTCATTGACCTTCAAGGGCCAGGAGCAAACACGGTCCAGAGCTCAACCTCAGGCAGACCTGGCAAAGCCAGGAGACCAGGGAGCTCCTTCCAACTCCACAGCTCGTCTGCTTGGAGGCTTGGACAAGCCCTATCCCCTTGCAGATGTTTCCTCTGTAAAGGGCAAAGGCTGGGCCCTTCTCACTCCAGGATTCTCTGGCATTCTGTGTAGTGACAGTAGCCAGGGGCCAGGCTGCTCGCTTTAGGTTCGTCACCTTGAGTGTACCCGGGATGGACGATAATGAGAACAGTAGCTGGTATTTACTGACTTCTTATGAATGCCCTCTTAAAAAAAGTGATGGCACCTGTTGTTTGTGGTTAATGTGCTTGATCGTGCTTCTCTCTTCTGTTACTGTCCACTTGCCTTGACAGGGCCAGAAGGGGGATGCTGTTGTCGGACCTCAAGGACCCCCAGGTGTTCCTGGTCTGCCTGGGCCACCTGGCATTGGAAGACCTGGTTCCCCTGGACCCCCAGGACCCCCAGGACCACCCGGACCTCCGGCTATCTTAGGAGCAGGTTAGGGCTGTAAGGGTACCTCACACTGCCTGATGCTGCTGGCACCAGCCTGGGGCATGTAAATGACATCTCATCTGGTTTTGATTTTTATTTCCCTAAAGTGTCCCTTGTCGGTAGACACTTGGCTGCCATGTCAATGCCTAGGCCTTAGAGACTTGAGGACCAGTGCTGTTTCTAACTCTGTAAAAATGGCTTGCTACAGTCCCTCAAATGAAAAATGGGTGAGAGAGGAGAAAGTTTCCATTTATTGAACATTCGTCAAAGAGACTCTGCCAGTTACACTACATTACTTTATTAAACTCTTACAAAGCTGTTCCAAGAAAACATTAGCATCCTCATTCTGCAATTAAGAAAAGTGAGGCCCAGAGACATTTAGGCACCTTTCCAAGGTCACACGGCTAATGAGTGACACCAGCAGGATGAGGACCCAGATCAAGGCAGCTCTGGAGTCTGTTCTTCCCAGGGGGGAAAGGGACAGTGAGCAGTGGCTGCGTGAGCACTGGCCCACACGCTGCAGGGGTGTTACAGGTACACCTGGAGAAGAGTGACAGCATCTGGAGGTGACTTGGGGACCCGGACTTTGGCTTACTCTTGGGTCTTTGGATAATAAGTGACAGAAATGTAACTCAGACAAAAGGGAGATATACTGATGTGATTGGAGGGGCTCACAGTCCATTTGTGGGTGACTCAGCTTGCCTCTGCAACTCAGCAACAACCAGATCCAGGGACTCGACCCCCATGAGGCGTTCCTGGCCGTCTGTTGTCTCCTGCCTGAATATCAGCTTCATGCTTCTTCACCACAGACCACATCCTCTGTATGGCTGGAAATAGAGCTACCAACAGCTTATAGTTTCCACCTTCAATTAGAAATCTTCACCTTTTGTCTGATTTTTTTTTTAGTTTGAAAAGTCCTGGGCTGGATTCCAACAGCCTGTCTTGGGCCAGATGCCCAACCTTGAACTAGCCACCTGTAGCTAAGGTGGCAGGATCATGGGAGAACATGGCCCCTCGTTCTGAAAGCAAAGGGTTGCAGAAGTGAAAGGGAAGATGCCAGAGATGCCCACAAAGCACAGAAAGAGCTGGGTGGGTTAAAGCCACAGGTGCTCACACAGCCTTGAGCAATGAATGGGAATTAAAGTAGTGAGTGGACATTAGAGGGTCAGAAGAGGATATAGAGACTCTGCTGTCCATAATGGCCCCACACTAGGCCCCAGGACTCCTTGCTCCACTGAGCAAGGATTGCCTTGAATGTCATGTACAGTGGCTCACAATTCCCATAACACTCTATATTCATTATCCCATTTTATCGTCATAGCCGTCCTGGGAGGGAGATGAAATGGATATTGCTATAAAGCTCATTTCATGGATGAAGACACGGAAGCTCAGAGTGGTTAAGAGACTTGCTCAAGGTCACAAGTACTAGTAAGAGGCATTAGCATGGGACCAAATCCACTTCTTCTGGCCCTCTCTCCACTAGACATTCACCACCCTGTGTAGACGTTTGAGCCCTATGTTGGACTGCAGGCGTGCTTGTAATGAGCTGAAAAATCGCACGGAGTAGTTTTACTGACACTTATTAAGACATCCTTAATGCCACAAGAGCTTTGCAGAATTTGTGAGGACAGGGAATTATAGCGGTAGAGGGGAGCAAAGGACTAGCTGTAATGACACTTCATTATGTTTGCCTACAATGAGGGCTTTTTATTAGGCAACCATGAGCCCCCAGAGAATTTAAGGGCTCTTACTAACATTTTATATAGATGATTATGTACAGTGCGTGTGTGCATTTTTCTAGGGAAAAGGCCAATGGCCTTGATCTGATTTTTAAGGCCACTGTGACTCATATCAAAAGCTGAGAACCCCGACACACACTTGCATTTTTCTAGGGACAAGGCCAATAATCTTGATTTGATGGTTAAGGCCACAGTGATTCATATCAAAAGCTAAGGACCCTTGATTGACTGCTGTACAGTTGCAGAGCAATTTTATTTTCCTTGCCATAGCCCTAGGAAGAAATGCCAGCTTAGATTTCACAGCTGGGGGAACAGGTGCAGAGGGCTTGCTGTTTCTCCAGATACAGCTGCAAATTGACAAATCGGGGACTTGAGTTCATGTCTCCTGGTTCCAAGGTTGAGGCTTCTTGTCACTTTACCATCCCACCCTCCCTTTAGAGCCTCACACCTTCTCTTCCTCTTTCTGACCCTATTCTCTTTAGAGTCAGTTACCTCTCTTCGGTGGTTACTTCAGCTTGTCTCTTAAATGAAATAAGTTGGGTGAATCAGGAACTCTTAGGATGAAGTAACAGAAAACTGAGCTCAAATCATAGAGACAACAGCATTGTATTCAGTTGGAAAATGGACAAGTCCTAAGACTCGTCTTGTTCCAGGTCTATAGTCAAAGATTTCAACACTTCCCCAACCAGCCAGGTGTCTGGGCCTATGCTGCACCTAGAGCACCCCACGTGCAATTCCTTGCAGCGCTGTGAAGGGATTGCGCAAGCTCCCCACTGTGCCCAGCTGACACTGAGGCATTGTCCAGCAACTCTGCTCTTTTGTAATTTCTCTGCTCTGCTCTGTTCTAGCTGTGGCCCTGCCAGGTCCGCCGGGTCCTCCTGGTCAACCTGGGCTTCCTGGATCCAGAAACTTGGTCAGTATTACCATCAGCAGGTATTTTTCTTTCTGCTTTGCATGGGGTGGCTGAGAACTCCAGCTCCGATGTTTAGGGATTGGTATGCCTTGTATGTTGGGAGTAAGTGTGCAGGACAATTGAATTGGCACAGCTCTATATGTGGTAGAGAGTTTATTAAGTAAAAGAACACAGAATGCAAAGTCATTTAATGATTGAAGTTCTACTCCGTTAATCTTTAATTGACTAAACCATAAGAACCCATCATGATACATAAAAAAAAAAAACCTAAACGCGAGAGTGTGGGTCGAGATCTCACAGCCCTGAGCCAGTCAGGTGGACCCTGGGATTCAACCTTCTCCATTCTACCAGAGGATGTTCCTCATGTTTGCGACGCTGTAGATCACGAACCAGGGGTAGCACTTGGGGCTGATTATGGTCCATGGAAAGATGGGCAAACACCTCACACAGGTAGGAGTCCTAAAGGTGCTCCTGGATCTTTACCAAATTTGGAGTTGGGAATTTGACTTTCCAAGGAAGGACCTACCCAGCAAGTGATTGGAATTTAATATTTGATGTCTTCATGGGTCGGGGCAGGGCCTAGGCTTATTTGATACCAAAAGTCTTTATCTGCAAGGCAAGGTCAAAATTAATTTTTGATCATCTCCATTGAAATGAAAAGTAAAAACTCTCCTGGCTGATGCTTCTTTTGAGACTTGATGCTTTTCAATGGCTTTTTGCAGCTTTTATGTCTGCTCCTGGATATGCCAAGATGGCCATGTTCTAGACAGAAATGACAGGTCCCCATTTTCTATCATGTACTTAATATCGCGACTACCCTGCTAGACAAAAAAAAAAAAATCAAGACCTGAGTAGAGTTACTCATTTACTTGCCTTTCTTATTCAAGTGAAAGCAAACAAAAATCTCTAAGGAGCAGCACGAGATGACACATTTTTAACAATGTGTCATCACTCAAAAGGGCTGCACTTGGCAAAATGATTTTGGGGTGATTTTGCCAACACCCAACAAAGACAGCTCTGTTCTCAGCTTTTAAATTCTCTTTGTACTCACAGAATATTATCTTCTTTTTAAAATGTGTTTATTACAATGGAGATGTGTGCCCAAGGCAATTCATATTTTTGTTTTCTCAAGAAGAATGTCCTTGGGTTATTCGTGGGTTCTCTATCGCTATGTGGTGTAAGAAGCCTTTTCGTTGACTGTGAGAGATTGGCTATATTTGGCTTTCCAAAGACGCTGTTTTCCTAGCTGCGCCACTGGGCTGATAACTGTGGTGTCTGGAATCTGAAATTGTCTGTCAGGTCACGGCCCTCAGCAGCATGGACGACATGCTGCAGAAAGCACATTTGGTCATCGAAGGGACGTTCATCTACCTGCGGGACAGCTCGGAGTTTTTCATCCGTGTCCGAGATGGCTGGAAAAAATTACAGGTAATTCTCAAGCCTCCTTTAACAGATTGCCTTCTGATGTCCTTAGAAAACATGAAATCTCCTACAAATGCCACTTTTCTGCCTTGAAATAAAGCACACGGTTTCTAGTTGATGCCTCATTTTCAATGTTGTGTTTCCTTAAAGCTGGGAGAACTGATCCCCATCCCTGCGGACAGCCCTCCCCCTCCCGCATTGTCCAGCAATGTGAGTACTGCCCCTCTTTGTTTCTCAGCCTTGGTTCATCAGCATTTGTGGGTCCCCCCACATCTCTAGTACCAAGCTCTCTAAACTCTAGATTGCCCACTCAGCATGGTTTGGTATCTAGGAAAACCCAGAAGTCACCACCAGGATATTCTCTCACTGGAGTGGAGGGAGAACTGAACCCCGAGGTGGGGGACCTTTTGTCCATGTCTTGGGCACAGGGCTTCCCTCTCTTGGCCTCAGTTTACTCATCTGTGACATCATTGGTTGGCTTCAGCAATCTAGAGGAACCCTTTACCTTTAGCACGATGAGCCTTCTTAACCTGATGAGAACATTGGCTAGTTGTATCATCCATTTTCTACCCCGCAACAATTTTTTTTTTTTATTTTACAAAAGTTTATTTTTACATCATTTTGTACATTTTTTTTTTCCATCTCAATTGTAATCCCCGGGGGTTTCCCATCACCAAGTCACCCGTGTGCCATCACCATAATCCCATGCATTCCCCCCCAACCCCCCGTTTTTGATCCCATTCCCCACTCCACCCCCGCAAAATGTCTCTGGTATATGGTTGTTCATTATTTTTGTTATTTTCTCGCCGGGTCCATTATACTCCTGCTATGAGTGAAACCCCCCGCAACAATCTTTTAAGGCAGGTACTCTCACCCCCAGTTTGCTCATGAGGAATCAGAGACTCTAAAGAGATGATTTGTCCTATGAGGTAGAGCAGTTAGCTGCTTCCTTGGTTTGGTGCTCTTTCAAAAAGCCTTGAGAATATCCCCTTTGGGAGAATCATTTTTTCATTCACAAGCACGTGAAGCTATTCATGGTTAAGTGTGGCCCAAAGACCCTGCCAGACTTTTAATTTTTTTTAAAGATGTATTTATTTATGCATACATAACTGGGGTACAGGCCAGAGAAACAGGGGCAGTGAAAGGCTTCACCAGAGACAGTGGGGAGCCAAACAGACAGATCGACGATGTCTACTGCTGAGGGGAGCAGTGGGCAGGTCAGAAGAGGTCTGCCGCACCATGCGGGTCACGCCCTGGGCCAGGGATCCAACTTGCACTGAAGTGGCTGCAACCAGCTTGCAGTGCTGCATCCTAACCCGTTGTCCCACCAGGGAGGGCCTGCCAGACTTTTTAAAGACCCTTCTCAAGGAGCGTCACTCTGGCCCCTCAGCATGCTCTGAGGAGTCAGTCGGATGTATACTCACAATTGTTTATTTTGCTTTTTTATGCAACAGCCACATCAGCCTCTGCCTCCTCTGATGTCCATCTCCAGTGTCAGTTATGAGAGGCCTGTGGTGAGTGCATGTCCCGCTAGTGCTCTGCAAAGGCTGAATGTGTGCCCCTGGGTGCTGGTGGAGCCCCCGGAATGCATGCACATGCGTGAATGAGACCAACAGAACATAGATAATTAAAATCCAGTGTGCTAAGTTGTTTGGGAGGCAGACAGGGTGCTGGGTGTGAGGAAGGTCAATGAAATCTGCTTTCTTTAGAGAAGATGACTGTGAGCTAAGAGAGAAAAGAAGATTGAGAGCAGACAGGATCCAATGAAGGGAGAGAATGGGAATCCAGGCAGCGGGAACAGAGGCAGGGGAAGGGCTGCACATTTCTCCAGTCCCACGTATTTCATTCTGGCTGAAAGAGTAGAGTTCAAGTTTAGTTTGCAGAAGGCCATCTGGGGCCCGTAAGCCAAACTAATGACTTTGACCTTTTCCAGTGTTGGGGAGCTACTGAAGGGTCTTAAACTAGAGATGGGTATATAAGACTGACATTTATGGAATTACAGTGTTCAAGGGTATAGAGCAGGGCCCTATACCCACATCTGTTTCAACCAGTCCAGGGCCAAGAAGAAGCAAGCATAGTTTCGTCACATGTCTCTGCTCCCTGGGCCTCCCTCAGGTCTCCCGGCTCGCCATCCTGCTTCCTTCCTCTTCAATCTCCTTTCCAGATTCTTTTCTCTGCTCAACCCCACCCTCTTTTGGGGGGGAGGAACCTGGAACCTCCCCTTTTCCTGGGGACCACCCTGTTACAAGGCCGCTCTTTCACAAAACATGGCATGGGCACCAGAAACATGTCTCTGGCTTACTGCTCTTCACCGAGCAGGAATTCAGCCGGCAGCACCATAAGTCGGGTGTGCCTGGGGTGTCTGAGTGGCAACAACCAAGAGGGAGTAGGATGATAGGTTCTGACCCCCACAGTGGGTCTGTCTGGAGATGTGGGCTTGGGGGTCTTTGGCAGAGCCAGGCAAGTGTAATGGAGTGTTGGCCTTCTCAAAGAGTCTGTGTGGTAAGGTGAGAGGGAGCTTGATGAACCAAAACAAAAGGGAGCTAATGGAAGAAGTGAGCGGGAAGCTAAGAAGCTGTAGCCAGAGAGGAAGGAAGGATGCAAGCCGGCGGCCGTCAGCAGGCCTGTGCTGCCCCAGTTCCCTCCAAGGAACTAAATGCGGCCCTTCAGATTTAGGAAGTAGAGAAAAGCCTTGCAGCAGCTCAGAGGGATGCCTCTGAGTCCGGTTGGTTGAGGAGTTGCTGGGAGCTTAGGAAAGAGAGAAGCAAAATCTTAGTTATGAAGAGAGAAGTTAGGATCATGGTTCATGGATTAAAAAAAAAAAATTGTAGCTACTTTTGTGCTAAAGGATTTTAAGAATCATATAAATTCTCTTTTTTTTAAGATTTACTTATTTATGCATACAGAACTGGGGGACAGACCAGAGGTGCAGGGGGTGGTGAGAGGATTCACCAGAGACAGAGTGGGGGGCAGAACAGGCAGACTGACAAGTACACTGCTGAGGGGAGCAGCGGGCGGGTCAGGAGAGGTCTGCTGAGCCATGTGGGTCACCTCTGGGGCAGGGATTGAACACATGCTGAAGTGTCTTTAGCTTCTTAGTGCTGTGCTTTAACCCGCTGCGCCACCAGGGAGGGCCCTCATATCAATTCTTAAATAATTCATAGACCTTGTAGAACATCTGGAGCTTGAGTAGAAGGACTGGGGAAGAAAATAGTGTATCACCTCTAATTTCACCAAACTACAAACACCACAAAATAACCATTAATGTTTGATTGCCTGTATAAAAAGGACAAATCTACTGTTTAAAAACGATACCGCAGGTGGAGAAATACAAGCCCAAGACCACAAAGGCTCCCCATCCTGCCAGGCGATCAGCCGTCATGACAGACATTTCTCTGTGTCTCCTTCAGGAAGGAGAAGAGGAGATGGGTGGGATTAGACACTTGGCAGGGAAGTCCTGCCCTGGCTTCTGGGCAGCAGCACTCCATCAAGGGCTCCTGTGAATGTCCTTTTGTGAAGCTGCCAGGAGCTGTTGGAGGGTGATGAGACCGCAGGGACTCTTCCCTCAGGTGCTGCAATGTCGGGATGCACCAGCTGGGAGGAGGGCGGGTGGGGATGGCACAGCCAGCTGGCAGGGCTCCTAGGAAGGGCTAGTCTGGTGGCCTGGGAGCAGTTGTGGTGAGGGAGCCCATGGAGGGCTGAGAACGTGGGAACATCATATCCGTGCTGCCGGGGAGGCGTCACGTTCGTGTGTGTGTGCCTGTGGGAGGGGGTGTACAAATGGGGGTGCTGCTCAACTTGGGTCTCTATCACAGTGAGAAAGATAGAACCAGGGGTAAACAGAAAGTGGAGGTAGCAACAGGCTTGGGATCTGTGTTCTTTTGAAAAGGGGTAGTGAAAGGGAGGAAATGTCCAGAAGAGCGTGAGGACAGCATGGGGCAATCTGGATATATTTCATGGTCACCTGCCCTCTCCCCCCCAAAGACCTGCAGGCTGGATTCAGGTCTCTGAACTGCTTTATTTGCTCCAAAGAGTGTTTTGTTTTGTTTTGCTCATAATGGCAGAGTGTTACAACATTTAGAAATATTCAGAGAGCTGAAGCAGGCTGCTTTGGCAGATCTGAGCTCTACTTCCCTGGAGAAGGTCAAGCGGGTTTGGAATTCCATATAGAAGCTGCAGAAGCTGACCTATAGCCTGCCCCCCACTCCAAGACGTCTGGGGTCTTGTTAGGAGCATGAGCCTGTTTCACAGTTGGGGTTTGCTTTCGACTCTTTAATACACTGGCTTTTCTCTCCATTTTTCTCAGCTGCACTTGGTTGCTCTGAACGCACCATTTTCTGGAGACATTCGAGCTGATTTCCAGTGCTTCCAGCAGGCCAGGGCTGCAGGACTGTTGTCCACCTACCGAGCCTTCTTATCTACCCACTTGCAAGATCTCTCCACCATTGTTAGGAAAGCAGAGCGATACAGCCTCCCAATCGTGAACCTCAAGGTAAAAATAAACATCATTCTTGTTGTATCCTGGAAGTTCAGGTCTTCGGGGACTGGAGGCAGTTGTCCCTCCCTGACATCATCAGGAGTGAGCAGTGTGACTTTATGTGGGTCACTTTCCTCCTCTGGGCTTAGTTTCCTTGTCTCTGCAGTACCCCTTCCTGTTTGGATTAGACTCTTTGAGCAGACCAGAGAGATGATCATAATCTCTGTTATTTACCTAGTTTTTAAAACTGTTTACATGTACTTTGTGTCCATGATCTCAATAGATACTCCACGAAAAACGGGAGTTGTTCTCTTCTCTGTCAGATGAGGAAACTGAGGCTCAGAGGGAATAGTTTGCTTCAATCACTACCAACTAGAATATGTTTGATTCCCACATCAGGGACCCTTGCTCCCCCAAGGATGCCCTCCTTTGGGCACTGGCTTAGTGGCCCAGAGGCAACAGGTGAGCAGCACCACCTCACCCTGCATCCTGAGTTGTTCTCTCTGTACCTCTAAGCAGCCAAAGCCTGCCGGTTACTTCTCTGCCTTACTTGCTGCAAGGCAGGATGTGGTAGGATCCTCAGTTATACCACAGACGCCACCCTTCAGGTTGTGGAGGGCTGGGGCTATCACTGTTAACACACGCCATGGCCCTAGCCCCTAACCAGGTCTCAGAGGCACTTGGAGACCTTGAGGTCCCCCGGAGCCAAGTCTGGAACCTCGAGGCTGGTGGGTTCATGTGGACGCTACACCTCTCCTCTCCCCAGGCTCTGCCCACCTGACTCAGCCACTCAGAGTGTCTGTATTCTCAGAATACAAGTAACTGAAGGAAACTGGGTTCTTCGGGAAAGAAGGCAGGAATTCATCAGCACACCCACAGTGTACACGGGTACCAAGCCTGCCCCCCATTTGAAACTTGGTCTGCATATGTGACATTTTCAAAATAGTAACAGTCAAGACTTAAAAAACACACTTGGGGACGAAGCTGTCTGCACAGATGATAAGGAAATGACCTCAAGAAGCAAGAGGTGAAGCCAAAGGGTTCAAGGATAAATTGCAAAAAATCAAACATTTCCTGAGTTCCCATGCTGTCCACCCTGGGATTGGACATGGCAGCTTTGGCATAGGTAGCATCAGTACTTGAAGAATGAGTAAATAGCAAGCTCATGTCAGGCCAATGGTCTGATGGTTCCAATGTGTCATTTTGTTTCCATAGGGCCAAGTACTTTTTAATAACTGGGACTCAATATTTTCTGGCCACGGAGGTCAGTTCAATACACATGTTCCAATATACTCCTTTGATGGTCGGGACGTCATGACAGATCCTTCTTGGTGAGTAGGGGTGGAAGTTCTTGAAAAATAGGGTAGGAGAGAGTTTTAGGAGTCGTTCTAATAATGGGATGCTTTTCTCAGCTGTCGTGCCTGGGTGTTGCAGGCAGAAGGCCTCAGTGAGGCAGCCGAGGGCCGGCCATGGAGAGAGCCCTGGCTTTGGAACCAGGTGTCCTGAGACCAGTAACTTAATATGGAACTCTGCTTGTGCAAGGCACTTGCACTCCCTGATCCTCAGCTGCCTAACTGTCAAGTGGGCAAGATAATAATACCTATGCCACATTGTGAGAATAAAATGATAGCTGCGAACATCTTAATGAGTAGTCTATATTGTTATTCTGGTGGTTCTCTAAACCTATGCTGTGAGCTGTATTCTAATTATTTGTAATCTACGTAAGCTTTTAAGAATAAAACAACTCAGCAAATCTTTCTTCAGTACCAGGCCTAGACAAAGTAGTAAACATCCCTGCCCCTACCCTTACAGACTCATAGTCAACAGCAGAAGACAAAATGTTGTTCTCAACAGAATGTTGTCAATGTAAAATGGGGAAGCAGATCAAGTGATAGGACTGCAGAGGAAATATTCATTCCTACATGGGGGGGGGGGTGAGAATCAGGAAGACTTCCTGTAAGAAGCGGCATTTCATGAATTTTGAAATGAGGAATTACCGGTTTAAAAATGAAGGAAAGGCCACTCCAGGCAAAGAGACTTCAGAAGCAATGGTTCAGACTCATGAAAGCAGAACGTAGGATTTGAACAACTAAGAGCAGGATGTGATTGAACACAGTGTGTTCAGAGTGGAGAATGGCAGTGAAGATCCGTGATGTGAGGTCAGACTGAAGAGTTCGACATGTACACTTATTTCACTATAGAGTTATGTCAGTTTGCTCACTGAGATGTACCACCAAGAAGTTTCATTCTGTAAGTTAATGCGACAAACTTCCCTTTCAGGCCCCAGAAGATCGTGTGGCATGGCTCCAACACCCACGGAGTCCGTCTTGTTGATAAGTACTGTGAAGCATGGCGAACTACCAACATGGCCGTCACAGGCCAGGCCTCCCAACTGAGCACAGGGAAGATCCTGGACCAGAAATCATATGGCTGCGCCAATAGGCTAATTGTGCTGTGTATCGAAAATAGCTTCTTGACCGACGCTAGGAAGTAATGACCTTCGGATGATCTTTCCAATTTCTCCCACGTGAAGAGTTGACACTGAAATCTAAAATTTCTAAATGTTGTAAATATTACAGTTTTGATGACACATTCATGATAACAAAGAAAACGTACCTCAATACACTCAACGCTGAAGACAGAAAGGACTCAGATCCAAGATAAAGTCTGATCCATATATTGGTGCTAGGTTCTGCGGGAAACCCTATGCAGTGTGAACACAGCCCAATGGGCTTAGGAGTGAGCTGGAGAACAAAGGCCTTGGCGTTCTGCCCACTGCATCCTTCAGAAAGTAATTTCCTCCTTTTAACCATTGTTGTTGAGTGTAAAACATCTTTCATGTTTTCTTACAAAGTCAGTGTTTAGAAATGTTCCCCCTTTCTAAGTTATGTGTAGACCGAATGCTTTATTCTTTAATATACATCCACCATTTGCAACTGCTGTTTAGAGAAACAGAACCCGCTCAAATGATCCTATTTGTATTTTCTGATATTAATAGATTTTAATGTTTTTCCCTAAAATATTATTGACATCATGCTTTTAGGAGGTTTATATTTTTGCACAATCATATTTTAGTATGGCATCTGTTATTATAGCTACGACTTGCTGGAAAAGTTTAAACTTCAAATGACCTGAAACTAGTAAAGAATAGCACAGAAAGACTGCCGTGTCCCGGGCTATCGTCTTCCCACCCCCAGCTGATGTTACCCCTTCCATTTGGCAACTCAATTTTCTACTGTGATTGAACAAACAGCTTCCTAAGATGAATTTTCTGAGAAACGTTTACCTTCCTGCAGTACACTTTGATTTCTTTTTTCCACATAAGTGAACATTAAAACATCTTTTCCAGGCATTTTCTTCTGTTTGACTCTTTCCCCCGTCCTGTTACGTCCATTGCTGATGTGGAGTGCCCTGGGCTGGGTTCGCCAGGCTTGTCACTGTCGCTTGTGTGGCCTTCGGGAGACATCAGAGAATAGGAAGGCTTTCCCATCATGCTCATCAGCTCGGGGCTTTGTCTCACATTTTTGGGGGGTGGTGTGCAGAGAGGGGAAGGTACCCAGTGAGGGAAGCACCATGATCGGTGACTGTTTCAACGCATGACTTTGGCCAAGTCTACCTTCTTCTCTAGAGGCTGGGAGGAGACACGCCTGCTGTCCACCCCCAGTTACTAAATATCAGTCGTTCCTGTCCATTCACTTTTCCTAGTAGCCCTGCAAGGTAGGTATTTTAATTCTTCTTGACAAACGAAAAACAGAAGCTGAGGCTTCTGTTCTGGTGGGGCTGGTTTCAGAATCCTCTCCTGCGAACTGCTTCTCTCCACCCCACCCTCAGCTTCAAGGCGGTGACTCTGGCTCGTGGCTTGATCTCACAGGAGAAACAGAACCATGGACTGAGTTGCGTGCCAGGAGATTTCCTCCCATTCAGCTGGGCTGGCCCTGATCCTTCTTGAGGTAGGAAGAGAATTAAAAAGAACAAAGCAGTCATACAGAACCTCCACTGAGGAGCTTCCTATGGAAGAGCAGTGAGACTTTCTAGTGAGTCATGGGATGGGGACCACTGTAGGTTAGGAAGCCAGAGAGGCAGACTGTTGAGGACCAGCCCACCGATTAAGTGGGGTGAGAGTTGCCTGGTGTGGACAGGACCAAAGCAGGTGGTGGCACAGGAAGTCACAAGGTCATAAAGTAAAGATGTCATCCATTTTAGTCAGACCTTACTGTGACTGGATCACAGAAGGGGCAAGGCATGATGTCGTCCAGGGATAGCCAACAAGAGGAGAGCTCCCTTTGCTAAGAGGAGAGCTCCCTTTGCTAAGCTCCCTTTGAGATCCGGGCCTGCAGGAAATCATAACCAAATAGAGTCTCTCACCTGCATCAACACCAGCCCTGCTCAGGCCCCAAGGACCACAGTCAAACCCCTGGGTTTGGCACTCATCACCCTTCATAGAACATCAGCTTTTCTGTCACCTGGCAAAGGTGTCCAGCCTGGTGTCCTAATAGTTACATAAAAGGGCCACCTGGGCCCCTCTGCCAAGGCTGTTCATGCCCTGACCCATCTCAGGAAAGCCTTAGTTACTCCAGGACTAGCCCTCAGGCCCATGCCCAAAGCAGACTCTGCTTTCTCTGTGACATCCTCCAGGCCTCTGTACTTGCCGACTTTTTATCATGATTCTTCTCTGGTGTGTGCAATTAAAACCCACTGAATGCAAGGCCTCCAAGCCTTTTCTTTATTCCTTTGCCTGGAAATTCTGGATGGACTCCGACTGGGAAGCTCACTGATGTTTTCAGGCATGATAACGGAAGGTATAACACACTTGACAGTGCTAGAGGTCTTTGGGTGTTAGTCGACCCTGAAAGTCTGTATCTACAGTATCCAAGGTCCTCTGTTCAGAAGCAGAACAAGAGGACAGAATCCTTTTTCTATCAGGGAGGAAGCAGACTTTGAAGATACAAAGGAGAAAGGAAACTGACAAGATATGGGGGAGGCCAGACAAAAAGGATAAAGGACAAGGTCCAGGGAATCCTCTCTGCAACCTGGTTGTGACCATGTAGCGGTGCCTGAAAAACCAGGAGGGAAGAAGAATGGATCACAAAACCACCACAAATGTCCTCGACCCTCTGGGCTGCATGTGACTTGGACTTTAAATGGTACAGGAAGTAAAGTAGGGGACAGCATGGAATTCAGGGAACTCTGCACTCCAGTACAGCTGAATGTTAGTCAAGGAAGCAAAATTTTGTAAACTGGAAAAAAAAGAAAAAGAAAAAAGGAATGGGTTGACTCATGAAATCACAAAGAATAGGGAATTCAAGCGGGTCAAGTGACAGGGTCGCTTAATCTGTTTTCTCTCCTTTTCTTGCCTGTCTCTGCCTTTCCTTTCAATCCTTTTTCTCAACCCAATGAACGAGTTGCTCAGGGATTTCTATAGGCTCCCATTACTCAGACAACCCTCTGGGGTTACATTAATTCCTGGAAAGAAATCTTGTGTTGTGAGCCCATGATCTTGACTGGAAACCCTACCCAAGAAGAACTATACAGAAGGGGCAATTTTTTCTATGAGAGGGTTTACAATGACCAGAGGGACTCAGGAGTTTGAAAGGACCAAATTAAAAATGGGGGTGGGAAAAAATGGGGGTGGGTGGGAACAGAACCTACTACACACAGTAGCAGGAAAGAGCTAAGTGGGGATATGGTGGTGAATGATAAAGGCGAGATCACACCGGGCTTGAATTCTAGAATGAGGCATCTGGATTTCATCCCACCATGGTGGGGTGCCTAGGGAAGATTTGAAAAAGTGAGAGATGGGTCAGATACATGTTTGAAACAGATCAGCAGGTCTTTTGTTTATTCATTCATTGATTTGGAAATGTTTCTTGAATAATGATTTTGTACTCAAGTCCAATTTGTATTTGGAGGAAGAGAAATGTCATGTTCCCAATTTTAAAATCCACTGAGTCCATCCTATAAAGTGGTGCAGACCCCATGTTTATCTCACCCCCATTTCCTCAGGAGCCTTTCCACTTGAGACAAGCACATGTGCTTAATCCCTGCTTACTCATCCCTGGTTACTCCTTGAGGTCCTGGGTTACCAAGATATCACTGAACCTCCTCAAAGGTCTTCCATCATCTCTGTCTAATTTCCCCTCTTGCCGTCTGTCATCAACACACAGTCAAGTAGAGACAGGATTTTGGGTTTGAACTGGGACTCTGTCACTTACTAGTCAGGTGGTCAGAAGCAAGTTACTAAAAATCTCCAAGTTACTAAATACTGTCTCCTCCACTCAACCCTTCCCTGAAGCCATTTCTTCATGTGTAAAACAAGAGTAACAGAAACTACGTTCCATTGAGCAAGTTCTTTGGAGCACTGAGAATGGGGCTCTGACCCTGAATAAACATGCAATACGTGCTCATTCTCCTTGGCTGCTCTGTGTCCTCTCGGCAGCAGGAGGGCTCTAGCTTTGCTGGTTGTCATCTAGTCTGTGTGGTTTCTCTAGCTGTCTCGAAGTCCAAGACCGCGACTCACCATGTAGACAGGTGCTGCTATACCTGTTGGTGAATAGTCACTGTCCCAAGTTCCTGGGGACTTTGGCTGCCCTGCTCCACCCTTCTGCTTCTCCACCTCCTAATCCAGCAGCTAGAATGTGATCATCTGATCCAGCAGGAGCCATCTCTGGCACCAGAGCCGGATTCTTCGTGATTGACAGGAGCGCGTGCCACAGTGACTGTGAAAGAAGCTTGTTATCCCTTGGCTGCGCCTGCCTGGCACCCTGAGCTCCAAGCAGAACCCGGCGTGCTGTCATCTGATATGTTCATAGAACACACAGCCCACCCCATCTCTCCTTCTGGTCTTGCTCCTTCCCCTCTGGTCCTTCTCTCAGTGAATGGCACAACCAGCCAGTCAGAAGCCCGGGAGCCATTTATTGCTTCCCTTGTTCAAGTTCAACAAATATTGCTTCCTTAGTAACAATATAACAACAGCAATCAAAATAACAATAAAAGAAAAAAATAACCCATAAAGCAAATACTAGGAAGTTCGGCAACGACTTGACTTTTTGAAATGTCAAAATATTGGGAAACTGAGGGCAACTCTTTCTTTGCTGCATTCGTTGCTCTTCCTTGGAGACAGTGTGGTGCTGCTTCTAGCTAACCTAATACAGACGGCTGCTCTCGCTTCTATTCTGATCTCCTGGCTGCCAGCCCCTTTCCTTCTGTTCATTCTCCACACCGAGAGAACTTTCTAGAAAGTCTGCCACGCTCAGTGATTTGATTTTGGTTTCCCCCTTTGTTCCTTTGTTTTTATTTGTCTTCTTGCCTTACTTCATTTTTGTACAGTAGTGGATTTCTCCCCTTAGTTCTCCCACCACCGAAGCATCATAGCACCACAGTCCTCTGTGCTCTTCCTTCTCGGTTTGACCCCTCCCTTGCTCATGCCTCTGATCTGTAGTCAACTTTTCTATGTGTTTTTTAACCTTTTGTTCAGTTTTTCTATTTTCCACATGTAAGTGAAACCGTCTGATATTTATCTTTTTTCCTTCTGACTTATTTTGCTTAGCACAGTCCTTTCTAGCTCCATCCATGTGGCTGTAGATGGCATGAGTTTATCTTTTTGCTCCCTGAGTAGTATTCCATTGTGTACATATGCCATATCTTCTTGATCTGCTTTGGGGCACTTAGGTCATTTTCTTATCTTGGCTATTGTAAAGAGTTCTACAATACACATAGGGGTGCAGGTTTCCTTTTGAATGAGTGTCTTTGAGTCCTTTGGGTAGATCCGTAGAGTAGCATTGCTGGATCAGATGGTAGATCCATTTTTAGTATTTTGAGGACCCTCCACAAAGCTTTCCGTTGTGGCTGAACAAGTTTACATTCCACCAGCAGTGTAAGCGAGTTCCACAAGAACTTTCTGGAAACTGCCATTTTTGTAGGGTTGGTTATCTTATAACGGCCAAAGACAGGGCCTGCTGGTGAGTCTTCCCCAATGCTGAAACCCACAAGACTGTGCCAGCAGGGTCAGGAGACAACCTCTTGCTGGGAACCATGAGGACCCATCCACTCTGGAGCCACTGGTCCTTTTCAGTAGAGACTTTCATATTTATAAATACCAGCAGGTAGCAGCAAGCACCAGTTAGCCATGTGAGGAGTATAAGCAGCCTCAGAAAGGGAAGCAGCAAATCAGTCAGACCTATTGACTTGTATTTTTAAAAAAAATTACAGAAGACAGGAGCTAACTTTTGAAAAAATCAAATTTATATTTCAGTGAACTGTCAGAAAGTAAAAGCAGTGTGAAATGGAATACTAGGAAAACAAAAAGCAGTCCTTGAAAATAAAATACATCATTGTATACACCCAGAATAAAGC